GCTTGAATATTTCACATTTACTGCAACAACACACCCGGTCCTTGGACGGGCTACAGGCGAGTGTTGTGCATAGTTTAGTTTTTTGTATTTATTAGTTTAATCTCCCACCGCCACCACGTGACCTGACGAGCCGCGCGCGCTCAATGCGCATGCGCAGTACGCCAGCGCGGGAACCCAGCCCTCGTGCCGCCATCTTGTTTCTCTCACTGTACCCAACGATACAGTAATAGTGTGCACTGTACCGCCACATCACGTGATCTCTATAACGAGGGGGGGGGGGGTACTGTAATCTTTTAACTAATTAGGTGCTTAATTATATTCAACAAATGTTGAACGCGTGTGCGATTTAGTAAATGTGAAAGCGAGCATTTGAAGGGCCTGTAGCATGAAAAGGTGCATAAATCGTTACAGCGAACATGCCTGAACCTCAACAGTGAAATACACGATTCACAGCTTTTAAAACATTAATTTGTTGCGATTAATGTTGGTTAACTTTTGCAATAACTGACGTTATGTACGATGTATATTTACAACACTGCTTGTATAATGCAGTACTGCATATATACATACTTTAGAGGGGGGGGGGGGATTTGTATAAAAAATACAACTTGAAAATAGAATAGTCAAATAAATACGAATTAAGATAATTTAAATAGAGAGTACAATTCGGCAATACAGCACTCGCATAAACGAAAGGTAACTTCATAATTCCCAAATCGAATCGTTATAAAGCAAGCGAGGATCGGGGTGCGGGGGGGCAGCTCAGAGGCTACGACGCGAGGATGGAGGCCCCACGGCGCGCGCGGGGCATGCCGGGAGGCGGGCGGGGCATGCCGGGAGGTGGGTCACGTGGTGCTGCCACGGTCGGCATTGTTGTACCCCACAGACACACACAAAAAAAGAGGCCCACCCCGAGCCAAGACTCAGGCGTCGACAGCGACACACACACGCCGCGCTTCCCTTCCGCGATGCTTTCTCATCGTTCGTAAAGCGCACGAGGGACACAGAGAGAGTGAGAGGGGGAGAGACACAGAGAGAGAGAGCGGGGGAGAGACACACAGGGAGGGCGAGAGACACAGAGGGGGGAGCTGCTCCCCGAGGCTGCGGGCCGCGCGTCTCCCTGCGAGGTGGGGGGGAGCGGGGCCGCCTCCTTCATGGCTGCCCAGCCGACAGGTCGGGTGGCTCACACAGAGAGAAGCGCCTCCTCGCACGCACAACAACAACAACACAACAACAACAACAACGCGGTCTGACGTCTGCTACATCGTACGGGGACTCTTATGGTCGTGTGTGGATGGTTCGTACGTCTTGGACGTACGCACACGCGTGCGTGATGCACTCGGACACGTGTACATGTTCGACTTTGTATCGGGTGCGACTTTAATGTAGTGCCGTTTGTTGCTGGCCGCTTGACGTTTTGGGGCTTTGTGGGTGTGCGGCGCAGTCGTTTTCTAATTAAATCGCGCAAATCTACTGTACACCGTGTACTGTATGTACGGTACAGTGCTGTGTACACATACTGTACTGTATACACACTGTACTGTATATACACACTGTACTGTATACACTCTACTGAATGCACATACACAGGTGCACTTAATCATGTATATGCTGTACATTAATACACCGAATAACGCTGTTTACTGTATACACATGTACTGTATACACGTATACAGTACACGTGTTGCATACTCTACATGCGCATATTGTATATCACACGTACAGTATACACAAGATACAAAGTCATATTTAATCCTATACCTACACACCTACTGTGTATACACTACATTGAAGACCGACTCGACTGCATCACATCAAAGGGGTACACATTCAATACACTACACACCCCAGGAGTCGCCAACAAAAATAACGAGCCGTGTTTTTTCTTTATTCACTAAAAAAACCCCTCACTATTTCAAGAGTCGCAATGCATGTTAAGACGAGACGGTCCTTAATAATTAACCTCACGAGGAATGTACTCTTGTATCGATGACTTCACCTGGTTTTTACCTTTCATGTACAGGTAGTGGGGTGTATTGTATTCAACACCCATCTCAATGGATATTAAACCATTGAGATGGATATTAAATGATTAAATGCAGAACTCAAACAATAAAGTGGTGCACTCCCCGTGTGCCACCTCGATCAACACGTGCATGCTGACTCTTCAGCTCCATACACCCGACTAAATACAACCTAATGATACATCACTACAGACATCTACTAAATACTACACGTCTCGCACATCCAATACACAACCTTTGTTCTACATCTGTTGAGAACATTACCATCACAATACACGCAGGGACTCACTGCCACAGACTCGCATTATTTTGCAATTGTATTACACCACCACCTAGTTCCAATTCAACCACTTCTTCTGACTCATTGGCTTCGTCTCTCCCACTGAATCCACATTTTACTCTCTCACACTCTCCACACACTACTCTTGTATTGCACCGATTCAACACTCGACCCGAATACTGCCCTTTAGCTCAACACATCGACTGTCCTCCTGTCTGCATATCACGAATTTTTGGTGCACAGTACGACTTATCTCACTCACACGTGTTACGTCTTGGTTTCTACACCACCTTATGCTTTCTCACACTCTTGTTGAGATGCGGCCATTGTATGGGCAATGTCATTGATATTGACATTGCTTTGTCCGATTAATAGAATGGTAAGTGGGGGGGGGGGGGGTTATTTATGATAGGCTGTTCACATTTTTGGCCCGGCAGAGTCCAGCCAGTGTGTCAAGTGTCAGTGCCTTAACTGACAGACACTGTTACAGAAATCAAACTAGATTGTATTCATATGTACCAATTTATTGTGTTTTGTGCCAAGTTGTGACGTGTCTGCACTCCACAATGAAGGGCATTTATGTTCTCATTGCATAACGCATGGGAAGGAATGGCGCATGAATAATGGGGTGGTGGTGGTGGTGATACTGATGGTTAGTGCTGCTGTTTGATGGCAGAGCCATCCCAATGCAAAGTGAAGCCCTGTATAGGTAACGGGCAGAGCCATGCGAAGAAAGACGTGGTTGACAAACAGTACATGAAGAAAGACTCGACGGATACACACGGGGAGATAGACGCAGACATTGACAATTCACAGCCAATGACAATCATGGGCAGACTCAGTGGGATGCAGACGTTTTTGTTTTGACTTCCAAGGATGAAAGGGCATTGTGCATGTGTATTTGTTACCCGGGTGTAACGCCAGCATTGGTTGGTGATCAGTGCTGCTGGTGCTATTGCAGACTATCAACCGAGCGTTTTCATGAACTGTGGAGTTTGACCTGTGCTCACAGGCACAGGAGGACATCACCGGCCTATGTGTCCGTCACATATGTCACTCGGTGCGACATGAACAGCTGCTTTATGCCAATGGTAAAACCAGGGTACATTATACATTTAGCATCGCCGCATGTTCTCATGGTTGGGAGCAGTCAAGACGGAATCTTCAGCAGAAGTCAGTGGGGGAGGGGGGGGGGGTGACATCTTTTTGCCTGAGGGTGGTTGTGGTCCTGTGCCCCCTATAAGCTGCTGCTGCTGTGGGTGACCGGGCGTGGCAAAAATGTCACGTTGTGTGTGTACAGAAGAAACGTTACATACTTTAGTCATTCATCCAGGCAGGACTCTTCGGAAATAATCTCGAGGCCTCCCCGGATAAATAAATGCCATTGTTATTGCTTTCAGTGCCTCACAGGAAAACAATGTAAGTGTGTACTAAAAGTCTTTATTTGATCTCAACTGATGCAAGTTTGTGGGGGGTTTTTTCGCTTTCGGAGCATTCAACGCCGGTCCCTTGCACAGGATGTCGGTACGCACACTCTGAGATACACAGTAGAAATGCCATTTTTGTTGCATAACTGAGTGTTGTAAGTGATTGGCATCACATACCATCCTTGCCAGACGTCATCTTCCTTGCCACCTGCGCATATCAGGCAGCCTTTAAATTGCTTAGCGAGATATGCAGTTCTCTCAAAGGAAGGGGGGGGGAAACACTTTAACATTTCTGCTGTGTTGGCGATCGTACGTTCGAGTTTACACAGCACAGGACTTGCCTCTGTTTCCTCATTGCTGATGTTGACTACGCCACGTTTTAGGCTGAGCAGACTTATAGGGGAGCCCGAGGCTGCGTTAAGATCCCAGTTGCTGCTGCTGCCGCCGGCTGTGCTTGTCAAGGGAAATCGAAGCAAGTCGTATATATTGTGCTGTACACTGCTGCTACACACACGTGGACACTGTTTAACATGTACACAAGCATACACACATAGAGGCCCTATCAGTCACCTATGCAGACACAGCCTGACGTGTACACCGCCCATTCAGTCCTGGCCCGACGTCACGTGGCACATTGTGTATACACATTGGGACAAATAGCTGCAATGTGCGTGCACACCGATCCACGTGTACACAGTGAAGCGTGCCAAACGCCCAAAAACACCTTGCACTCGCGTACACGTAGACACGTGAACACACAATATGCCCTAAGCTACCCACACGTATTGTCGCGTGTGCACGCGCACACACGCGTGTTAAAGGCGAGGTTTTTTTTATTCTCTTCTTCTCCCCAAGCTCCACCAAGACGTGTGGCGCAGGCAAAAGGCGATTGTCGGTCTCTCTCCTCCTCCTCCCTTCACCCCCCTCCCCGTGGCATGCGAGAGTAGTAATGGCCGCTTGCCGCGGTGTTAGCTCGGCCGCATTGTGAGCCGTGGCAGTGGCAGCAGCAGCAGTGGTGGCAGCAGAGGCCATGTTGGTGGTGGTGTTGTTGTTGTTGTTGCCGTGGCAGGCAGAGAGGGCATCGCGACACGAGAGGGCCCAGGCGTGATGCTGGCCCCCGCGGCTTGACTCCCTTAGGAGCAAATACATGCAGGTACTGGCGCTGTGATTATTCATATTAGTTCGCTGGTATTGTACATTTTTTTGGTATCATTACCGCAGGGTTTCCACTCTCTCCTCTCCCCCCCACCCCCCGTTTTAATGTAGGGAATGTTTTGTTGTTGGTGTTTGGCAACCCGTAGGATTGAAAATGGCTGTGTGGCTTTTTTGGTTGATATCTTGGTGGGCCATTTTAAACATTCTTGCCGTGTTGTATTTGATAAGCACTCACTGCGATTGCTACTGCATTCCAGGGTGTCAGCTCGTGTTGGCTGTGTGTGTTGACCTTGCTTAGGGAGCATTCCTTGCGTTTGTGTGTTTCGGCGAAAATAATTGTTGAGATTGCATATCAGAGCAAAAGTGGTGTGTGTGTGTATGTGTACCTGCTCGTATTGTGCTTTTTCTGTCATAAGCACGAGTTCTGAGATGAATACTAAAATGAACTTGATGTGTTTGAATAGCATTTCGTGTGTGGCCTCTGATGACGAAAGCACATTCAGTGTGTGTGCACCCTATTAGAATTACAAATTATCTGCTTGCATGCCAATGTGAACCTCATGTGTATGTCAGCAACATTCATTATCATGACTGCACACTAATGCAACACTGGTTTATGTCAAATTCGTACGTTCTCAGGATTGCTTACTAAAGAAAACCCACAAACCCTGTTTGTGTCTGCAGTGAGCTCGATTAATCTCGGCAGCTCATTTCAATATGCGAATTCTGCAGTGTTTTTAATGTGTGTGACATCATCTTTGCATTCACGTTGTGCAGAAATATAAAATGCACAGCCCTGTAAGAGAGGCAGGAAGGGCTGTGCAGGCCTGTGGTCGTGCCACATCAAGAATGCAGAATGGTGGTGTGCTTTTTTTTTGTGGCTGGAAGCATGGAGGGCGAGTGGGGGTTGGTGCTTTGGTGTGTGTGTGACCTGTGTGTACGTGTGGAGAGTGATAGTGTAGTGGTTCCCGTGGATTGCACACTGCGATCCTGACCACCTGGGCTCTGTTATCAAGCGGCGCACGTCATCATCATTGGTAAATGGTATCTGAACCCATCCTGGCTTGCCCATAGGTTATCCCAATCTTAAATTGAGAACCTGGTGTAGTGTGTTAACAATCAGCAATAGGGAGGTAAAGTCAATAAGGGTATATGGTCTGATCACACCACCACCACCTCATTTACCTTGACGTCCTTAGTGGATGATTGGTCATAGTGTTTGCGTCATTTGTATCACCTGCCCCACTGGTCTATAAGACTAAACTGGGATCTTTGTATGTGTACAGTCGGGCATGACATCGGTGCACTGTTGCGATCATCAAATACTCGTTGACAGTTCAGCATCACAGTCAGCAGCAGACACAAACGGCAGGGTCGTCTATCTTGGCAGATGAATTGGGTGACGTGGCAACTACATAAATCGTGACGATGCATTTTTAGCCGATGCTATTATTTGAAAGAGGGGTAAAAAAAATATTGGGGCCTTTTACCAACTTCGTACTTGAATTGTACATAAGCGAATTTGAACAGATGTCTTGTTGATTTATAAGGAGATCCCGTTGTTCAGCTCTTGCTGCAGTATATAATTAATTGCGTCTTATTATTATTAGCGAATGGCTGTGTGAAAGAAAAAATCATTAAGAGGTTGGGACCGGATTAACGGCTCGTGCAGTGTTGAAGCTCCCCAACCTTTGAGGCCTGTCATGCACACGTCGGCATGAGCATGCAGTCTGCTCGTGTGCATCGGTAGTTTAGTGTTCGATAATTACCGATACGTTATGTATTTATTTCGATCAATGTAAACTGCACACATTCACATTTTACTCATCGTAGCAGTGTACGGGACACGGGGTATATTCATGTTGATTCCAGGATACACATTACAAACCTGTTGTATTTGAAGAATAGTTCCTAAATGGATGGATGAACTGAATGAACGTGATGTGTAATCAGGTAAGAGACCCATCGACACTTGCACCTCTTTCGTAAGGGAGACAGCTCTGCGGAATTATTTTCCCACCGGAAGAAACGTACGGAAGAAGCATGTACGTGGAGTTACATTGAAAAAATATAAAACAGATTGAATGGGTCGCAGTGTAAAAGGTCAGGAAGCAGTGTGTGTGTGAAGTGGGTAAATACACGCGTTATCAAATGCAGCATTTTACTATGTATATGTGTACATTTTTTTCGACAACGTGATTTCAAAGGCAGTGGAGGATGTGTGCCGGCCATTTTAACATGGCAAGTTTTGACATGAAGAGAGGAGGGGGAAGTGAGCGGCAGGAAGGGGGTCCACGATGACCACTTGGCACGTTCCAATGGTCTCTACCAACTCATACCGACGACGGCGGGGTGGCACGTTGCGTTTGCGTCCAGGCGTGTGCATTGCAAACAGATTGTCATTATTTTGCTTTGTGCGTATTTGAATGCTGATCTTATTACGAGAGAGCGTTGATTATTTTACCAGAGTCGGTTAAATATCGATTTAAAGCTTTCGTGACTGCAGGGATATTCTACGTGACTTTACCGAAAGAATCAAAAATATTTAACCAGAGGTTTAAAAAATAATAATGTACAATTTTCCGAATCATTACGTTGTTTCTTGTTCACACATTTTGCCTGGACAGGTTGCTGTAACTGCAAATGGATTTTCTCTTTCCAGCTGTTGATATGCATTGTGTAAGGCATGTGCTGTATATAACAACATACGTGTAAAAGTATTTGCTTACTGGAGTAACGCATTATTTTAATATAATAATATATTGACATGATTAAGTAAATTGATGCTATTTTTCATATTAGAGGTTTTTGGGTTAGATCGCGAAAATGTAAATGTGTCGTTAAACCCGCCACCAATTATTAAGGTTTTTCATGTAAACAAAACATGCCAATTTGTTACTAGTACAGCACACCGATGTGTTGGAGAGTAAACCCACAACATTTGCAATTTCTAGTGCACAACATTTACAATTGTAAATGTAGTGGCCTTACTCTCCAACACATCGGTGTGCTGTACTAGTAACGAATTGTCATTTTTTGTTTACGTACTAATTGGCTGCGTCGGGTGGTGGCGGGTTTAACGACACATTTGTATTTACGCGATGTAACCTGAAAAATCTCATGGATAATATTGGTTGTGAAAGCCTACGTGGTTAAACTGATGTTATATTTACCTGGTAAATTTATTTTCACGTGGTAGAAATTTTTCGAGCCAGTTTTTAGCACCCCATTGATTTTGTGTAAGTTGGTTTTAAAAAGACAAGTGTGCGTGGTTTTTTGTAGGAAATCTAAATTTTATAATTCTACTGTGGAAAATAGTATTCTGTCCTGAATTTCACAATGACATTTCACGGAAACAGTTATGCGCATGGTTAACGAAGAAGAGCTGTGGTTATTGCGAAACAAATTCATTCATACAGTGGTACCCACTCTATTGCGTACATATGTTCGTGATCATCGATGCCCGTAAAAAATGCGTTTGGCATACTTCGCCGCGAAACATTTACCTGTAATTGCGGAAACAATTTCTCGTCTTTATGGTAGCATTTACCACTCAGGAACTTTGGAAAGACGTTTTTAACACGATATTTGTGTTCCTTGGAAATCTTTAAATTGATGGTGAAACTATTTTAGTACAAACTGTATTCTTAACGTGTACACACAAACACACTTATTTTCCCGGAGCCCAGCAGAAACCTGATACTGCCTGTTTTGAGCTGAAAGGTTAATTGTTTTGGACAAGAAGGTTGTATGGACAGCTACAGAAAATACAATGTACAGAGTAGTATTTGTGCACTTTTCATTTTGTAATGGTACTTTAAAAACATAATAATGTAAGGAGTTTTTGAGGACAGTGTTCGTGTCCTGTAGTTTCTAAGAAGCGTCATGGTAATGTTTTATAAATTTTGTGCTTCTTGCATTCCACACATAGAATTGTGCTCGTTATAATCTATTCTTTTCAATTCACGCAAATGTTATTCATGCTAATTGTCAGAGGTGACATCCGTGACATTGGCTGTGTTGACCTTTTGACCTTGACTTCAATGGTGTGAGCAAATAAGACACTATAAAAAAGACAGATAGAAAAATCAGACAGACTATATTCGAGATGGACATTACAAATAAAACCATACAGACATTACAATTCATCACATTTTTAGAAAAGGCCCATTGTCACATGCTTTATTGAGTATAATATCAAGGTGTGTCCTACTCATTGAAACATTTGAAAATGTATTTTCTCTGTGCAGGCTTTCTCTAAACTGATCACCATGGGTGACATGAAAACGCCAGACTTCGATGATCTGCTCGCAGCCTTTGATATCCCGGACATCGATGCGAAGGAAGCCATACAATCCGGGGGTGGAGAGGAGGGGGAGGGTGCGGGGGGCCTGAGGCCTGGCGGCTGCGATGAGACCGGCGAGGGCGCCGCCCAGTCGGCGCTGTGTGCCGACGGTGGCGCCGTGAGCGTTATTGTGCGGCACACGCGCAGCATCGACGCTCCCTTTGAGCATACGCTACCCACCAAGGAGGGCCCCCAGCTGGAGCACGTCACCGTGCAGAATGGCTTCGCTGTCGGGGGCTCGGGCGGCGCTGGCGGCAACGGCGGCGGCGGCAACGGCGGCGTCGCCGGAAATGGCGGCGGGGGTGGTGGTGGAGCCGCGTCCGCCTCCGGTCTTGGTCTTGGCTTCGGAAATCAGGAGCCGACTTTCAAGGCCAGCGGTGCGCCCAAGGGTGGCTCGGAACGGTATGGCAGTGCGCAGCAGAAAGCCGAGGCGTTGAGGAGCGAGGAGAATGAAATGAAGGAGTCGAGCTTCTGCCAGTTCAGCCCGATCTCGAGCGTTGAGGAGGGCGAGATTGAGGATGACGATGAGGAAGAGGAGGAGGAGGACAGCGTCAAGGCCGTGGCCGACCCGGCGCCCATGCAGAGGCGTTCGTCGGAGAGCTGCAGCTTCCTCGTGGACCGGCTGCTAGGCCTACACAGCGCGACGGACACCTACAGCGGGAACCTCCCCGCCGGGGTGAGGAGACCGAGCAGAGAGGAAAAATTTCCACAGTTCTCTGGCGCAAGCGGCGGTACCGACCGTGGTGTTGCCGGCAGGGCGAAACCTGATGCCAAGAAGGAGAAGCGTGATGCCAGAGGATTTGGCGAGCAGAGCAAAGGTGGCACGGAAGGCAAGCAGTATAGGCCCGGGGATGCGCACAAAGCAACAGACGCGCGGCATAAACACTCGGAGAAGGCACACAAGGCGTCGGACAGCACGTACAAGTCTGAGGTGGCACCGAAATCCACGGCGACGCCGTTCAAACCACCGGAAGGGGGACAAAAGCCTCAGCCTGAGAGCGAGCACAAGCAAGAGAAAGAGGTGAAGGCGGTGGGGGGAGTGAGATTCCCACGAGCGGACGAGGCCAAGCCCGCCGTTGGCGGCAGAGCTTACAAACCGGCGGACGGCACGCTCAAGGCGCTGGACTGCAGCAGCAAGGGCACGGATGTGGAACACGCGTCCTGGGATGGCGAGTTCAAGGAAGATGACCCTGAAGAAATGGCGCTGGAGGACAGTAAGAAGCATCTGGAGGGAGAGCTGAAGGCTCTGGATGACCTGGATGAACAAATGCTGTTGGAAGAATCAAATAAGCAGTTTAGCGAGGGGAAGAGCGAGGAGTCTCCGCATTCGGACGAGCCACCATCGGACGAAGAGCACAAGGAAAAGGAGGATGTGGCCAAAAAGGAGCCAGATACGGGGGCTGCATCTGACACAGGGGACGAAGCTAAAGAGCCCAAGAACGAGGAGGGGAAGTTGGGGCCCGCGCTGGAGACGAGTGCTTCTCGTCAGCTTGCGAAAGCGGCAGGAGGTGGCACGAAGCTGTCATCTTGCATTGAGGCCATCGCTGCCCTCAATGCGAAGAAAGCTGTTGCTGTGGAAACAATCCCGAACGAGACGGTCACCAAGGAGACGCAAGAAAGCGAATCCGCGGAGCCCGCAGGAGTCGCAAAGGAGCCGGTGCCCAGCGAGAGCCCCAGCCTGGGTGACAAGCCACCCCAAAGCCCCCTGGAGGTCGTGAGGAAGGCGTCCGTCAAAATGCCTGACAGCCCGAGGAGCGTGTCGAGTGAGACCAGCAGCAAGGGGTCCCCGGCACCGTCCTCCCTGTCAGGTTGCGGGGGTTCGCCTCCCGCCATCCCGAAGGTACGAATTCGCACCATCAAGACGTCGTCGGGCGAGATCACGCGGATGGTGACGCGCGTGATGCCGGCCGTGGACGCGGAGGGCATCGCCAGGCGGACGCCGGACGCTTCTCCGGGCGGGGCGTCGTCTCTCAACGGTGCCAGTGCACCGTCACCTGGTGGGGTGCCTCTGGGTAGCCCTGCCGGCACCTCACCGCAGCAAGCAGCGGCGGCGCCAGCGAAGAAGGCGGCGCAGGCGGCGCTAAGTGCTGCAGCCGCAATCGCTGCTGCCGCTGGCTCGACCGCTGCTTCTGCCGGAGCGCTGGGATCCAGCGTAAAGGGCAATAACCCATCGCAGGTTATCAACATCAAGTTTGGGGACAATACCACAATGAAGGCCACAGTCCTCTCGCCGACGACGGGTTCTACAGCCTCTGTGCAGGCTGCCAGCCACGCCATCTTGAAGGTAATTCACTGTGTATGTTTTGCAGTGCCATGCAATTAATACAATTTGTGTTTGAACTTAAGTGACGTGTTGATTGCACGTTTTTGGATTTGTAGGATTGCACAATCCACTGGTCTGTGGGGTGGCAAAGAGATGTATCGGTATACTGAGTAGGTTTGTGAGCTTTGTAGACCATTGAGTGTCACACTTTCGTATGCTTGGTGGGTTACCTCCAGGTGGTTTGGTGGTGTTGTGCTACATGTACACCACTCCTTCAAATAGTTATTGGTTACGTAACCTAATGCAGGACCCTTTTGAAAATTAGTTTTGTGTCTTGGTGAAACTTCCGATGATAAATAAATGACCTTGTTTTTCTTCGTTTGCATAGTAATTTTTCCTTTTATTTTCTTCAGGTTATGATTTATGTGGTGACCGCTGGTAATATTGTTCATTTGTACCTCGGCCCTTTTGCAGGCTGCCAATGTAGTAAAACAGCAGCAGCAGCAGCAGCAAGCAACGGGCACCATGGTCGTGTCTGCTCAGACAGTCGTCGGCACCAAGATTCTGCCCAAAGCCGTCCAGCTGGCCAGCCTCAACCTGATCCCGCAGACCGCCGCGCTCGCGCCGGTGGGCATCGCTCCAACCTCGGCCACGTCGGCGGTGACCTTCGTGACCCAGGCCATCACCTCGGTCCCCGCCGTGGTGACTTCAGTAGCCCCGTCGGTGTCATCCGTCGTTCTGGCCAAGGACACGCACGTGCAGACGGCATCGCACGTGGGCTTTGGCCGCCCCGCCGGGCTCCAGGGCCAGCCTTTGCTGCGCAAAGTGGTGGCTGCAGCCGGACAGACTGGCGGGGCACAGAGCTCCGTGGTGGAGGCCTTCAACCGCCTTCTCAACGGCGCCAACCCCGTGCCGCTCTACACGCCCAACCTGACCCCTCCAGCGACGGCCGGGCTCGCCATCCCGACGAGCGGCTACCGCTGCCCCGAGTGCGGTGACTCGTTCTCGCTGGAGGCGAGCCTGTTTCGGCACTACGCCCGCCGCAGCCTGCGCATCGAGGTGACGTGCAACCACTGCTCGCGCGGCCTCGTCTTCTACAACAAGTGCAGCCTTCTGTCGCACGCGCGCCAGCACAAGGAGCGCGGCGTGGTCATGCAGTGCTCGCACCTCGTCATGAGGCCGCTGCCCCTCGACCAGTTGAGCGTACCGGGCCCGGAGCTCACCACCGTGGCGCCGGGCTCCGGCCCGTCGTCCGGCTTGCCCGACCCGCCCACGGGAGCCGCCGGGGCCGGTGGTGCAGCGAACTCACAAAGCCAGAGTGCCCTGGGTACGTGGGGCGCGGGTTGTCCATGATCTCGCGTGTGTGTTTGTGCATCGTTTAAATGCGCGTTGCTATTCGTAGCACGGTATTTTAAGAATGCAAATATGGTCCTATTTATCGGTCACATATTTCAATGCAGGAGCCCCCTGAAATAATTTTGAGACTCGGTGAAGCTTTCCACCGATAACTTTAACCATTTTTATGAAGGCCTTCCGATGCGACGTGATGTCACCAATCATGTTCTGCACCTGAGCGGATGTCATCGGTGCATTATCTGCTTTTAAATTTATTTCCATCACATTCTCGTCCATCGGCCATCTTCCAAGTTTGGGATGTGTCCATCCCAACACCACTAAGCTCTTTTATTTTTTAGTTGTGTTTATTCCCGGTTAACTCCAAGCACCCATATCTCCGTACGTTTGTGTGCACCTGTTAGTTCTAGTTCCATTTTCATTGTCCCCATGTGTTGGATCCATATACAGTCGACTTCTGAAAACATAACATCTATGAAAATATCTTCAGGTACATTTGTATGCTTTTTATAATTGTTAAGTTTTGTTTCCCAAAAGCAACCAAATTTCCTCTCTTCCTCTAATTTCCTCATTTCATTGGATTCATCATTTGATCCCCACCCCCGCATTCAATTACTGTGATTGCATTTAGATGCTATATAAATCCAAGTCCTGCAGTAGTTGGTCAATTACTTGTTACAACAGTCGAGAGCCAACATTTGCAATTTTTAGTAAAAAAAAGATGTCGCCGTTGGCGTTATTCTTCGTGTTGTGGCTGATGTCTACAAGTACAGTTCTGGGAGAGTGGGATGAACGTTTATAGTTTACCGACATTTTGCGTAGAGTATCGAATTTGATGTAATACAACATAAACCCTAATGCTTCTCAAATCCGAATTACCTCCAATTCCAGTGCATTCGTATGTTTTTAACGCTGTCGTGAAATTTTCAGTCCGGTACACTTGAACTCGCACGTATGTAAACTACTGTACCCTCTTCTGGTTCGTGTGGTTTCTTCATTAAACCTAATTCCTTTCTCATACACCATGAACAAATTGCCAGAAAAAAATTTCACGCAATATTTTATGTTATGCGTATTTGCTCGCTTCGTTAGTTCGGTGAATCCGTACTGACCACCGCAGTCAACCCCCCCCAACCCCAGTGCTCCCCGTGATGGTGACCGACACCACAGCGTGCATGGGAGGCCTTCAGCAGTCGATTTAAAGTATATTTTTGTCATTATTATAATGTTTTTGTCAGGCGGTGTGATCAGCGGCTCGGATGGCCCGAGCCCCTCAGCCGCCCTTCCCCTGCAGGAGGATCCCATGCGCCTGACACGCTACGGCTCGCGCTGCCTCGAGTGCTCGCGCCAGTTTGTGGACGGCCCGTCGCTCGCGAAGCACTTCCAGCAGCAGGACGACGCGGCCACCCAGGTGGGTTCCTAAAAAAATTATATTGGGTGGAAAAAAGAAGTATCTCTATTGTGACTTTACTAAAGGTGTGTACGTTCGTTGTGTTCATTTAACAAATTTAATTTTGATGCGTTGAAAGATACAAAAAAAACCTCCCGTGACAAATTTCATCCGTTCCCCAGTGAGTCTATAAGCTGATCCGGAGCCATATTATGGAGCCAGTGGAGGCAAAGCGAGTATTGGGGGAGATGTGTTCTCACTTGGGTGTGTGTGAGAAGTCTGGCACTATACCGCCTCCCGCTGGCCACTCGCGGATAGGCAATTATGGTTCGGATTTTCGAAGGTTGTAGATTTTGACTCTCCTGTATTAAAAACTCAAATTGAGTTTGATCATAGGTAACTCATAAAGCCATCCGAATTGTAATAAATGTCAATCCCTGCAGGATACAATAGTGACTCAACAGATATATTGCCCCTCGCACGCAATTGTGTGACCTTCTAGGATGTGTAGTGGCATCGCGGGATGTCACTGTACAGTGCCGGCCCTAGAGAGGCACGGCGTGCGATGTAGCAACATCGCGGATACCACGTGGTGTGGGTGTAGTACCTGCCCTAGAGGGGCTCGGTCAGCGCTGAATTATAGCGCTGGGTGGCACCACGCTTGGCGTTCAGTACCAGCCCTATAGGATAGGTTGTGGGAGTGCCCGGCCGTAGGAATGTGGTTACTAAAGGCCATGGCACTCTGGTTGACCCGAGAGGGGCCCCAAGTGGGGGCTAGGGGTGGTCACGTGGTCGGGGTCCAGATCCTGCTCGAGGATTCTGGAAGGTGGTCGTGGCGAAGGGCAGAGCCAGCCACGCCAGAGAATATAAGCCGGGTCCCCCAGAGGGATCGGCGTTGTTGTTCATCCTGAAGAAACCTTAGTCTATGCTCTACGTTCTCCGAGTCTCCAACACGTGGACCTGGATCCGGCTGTGGTCCCAGTCCATAGTAGCGAGTTACGTTGTTATTAGTAGTTAGCCTTGTGGTCACCAGCATAGGTTGTTATTCTCTTAAGGGGCAGTTACCCCATGTGTTGGTGTTAAATAAATGTGTTCCCTCCAAGAGTACATCTGCGACTCACTACAGATGTAACCAGACCAATGCTAAGAATATTTACCAACAAGTTTTAGTGAAATTGTTGATGCTCGATCATCAGTCAGATAGAGGAGACAAACAAAAATGATATTTTTAAGCATTACAAACATGTTGCGAATCCAAGTCAGGATTATCATTCCTTCTCGTCTGTTAGAGAATTTGTGGAAAACACTTGCTTCTCATCCACTTCCTAGCCAGGTTCAACCTTGCTTAGTGTCTGAGATCTGACGGAATTTTGTGCATTTCGGGTGATTTGGTTGGCAGGACCGTCGCTCTTGTTTGTTTACGTTTTGCTGTGCCGAATGTTGACGCTCGTGGCTCTGTCCGTGCAGACGTGCCAGGTGTGCCAGATGTTGCTGCCCAACAAGTGCAGCTTCGCGGCACACTCGCGCATCCACCAGCACAAGTCGCCATACACCTGCCCCGAGTGTGGCGCCGTGTGCCGCTCATCGCACTTCCAGTCGCACATTAAGGACATCTGCCTGCACTACACGCGCAAGGTCGGATACAGGTGAGGTCTCTGCCTGAGTCCACATTTGCACGGCCGCCTTCTGTTCCCTTGTTTGATGGTGCCGTTCTCCGTGTTTTCTTTTTTTGGTAATTGCTTGTGGCCTGCGAAACAAAAAAAGATGTGCTCTCCCACATTGAAGCAAAATAACAGAGGAGTGTCGATGAATTTGTGGATTTTGTTTTCATTATACTCGACATGCATCAATAACTCTGCCCTGGGTAATTATTTTGGCACTTTGTAGAGTTATCTAATAGTTCTCCAACCGGTTCACAAATCACTCATCAGCCTCAAGCCGGGAATCAAACACGAGTTTCCGAGTTATAGCGCAGTGCGCAAACCACTGTACCGCCCCTCAGCCTAATAAACATGATTTATTACTCTCAACCTTCTTACGGAGGCCAAGGCTGTTTTGGGATTATCAGTGTGCCTTGTTCATGCATGCCTTGTTCATGCATGCCTTGTTCATGCATGCATTGCCTTTACAAACCTCGAATACCTATTGGCGCATTTTTTTAGGCAAATCAGGGAATGTTTTTAAATAACTAAAAAATCCAAGAATCTTTGATGCTGCATTTTGGCAGCTATACTTATAAAAACAGGACGCGCCAATGAATAGACGATCTCGCTGGAATATGTCTTCACTTTCCGTATGGCACGGGATCTTTGTCTTTGCTGTCGTGCTCACACACGTCAGGTGCGTGCACTGCGGGCTGATCTTTGCCGAGCTGCCCGCCCTGAAGACGCACATCCAGAGCACGCACTGTGAGGTCTTCTATAAGTGCCCGCTGTGCCCCATGGCGTTCAAGTCGGCACCGAGCACCCACTCGCACGCCTACACGCAGCACCCGGGGGTCAAGGTCGGCGACTCGAAGTGAGTGACACGCTTTTTAAGCACACAATTAATAATCGGAGTAATACAATTATAATGATGATAATACTTAATTGGCATGCAATAATGCATCGAAAGTTTATTGAAATGTATAATTTCTTTTAAATTCGTGTGTGTTGTAGAATTCCAAGCTTGCATCTCTCCATGCTTCTTTGCACACTGTTTGGCATTTGCTCCATTTCTTTTGTCAGTTTCCAGGTTTCTGGTTCACATGTCTTTAGCAACCTTTAATCGATTCCTGCAGTCACGAAAGCTTCAAATCAAGATTGAATCACCTCTACGGGGAGGGATTTCACTCTTCTGTTAGAACGTTTAACAGACTGCGAGACAAGAAAGCTCTGCATCAGCAGCAGACCATGCTTTCCCACCTGATGACGGACGCTTGTGTTGCGCCCGAAACGTCATGATTTATTTTATTTTATACCTACGTGACTTTACCGAAAGAACCAAAGAGTAACCTTTAATCGGTTGCTTGTATTTCGCGGGAGAGCGGTATATCCCATCCCCGTGCCTGAGTCCTCTCCTCTCGTGTGTGCGCTCCCACACAGGATTATCTACAAGTGCTCCATGTGCGACACAGTGTTCACGCAGCAGACGCTGCTGTGCAGCCACTTCGATACGCACGTCGCCAAGCAGAAGGTGTCCGTGTTCAAGTGCCCCGACTGCGCTCTGCTCTACGCGCACAAGCAGCTCATGCTCGACCATGTTAAGGTCTGGCTGGCGCTGTTCCGTCCGTTGTATTCTAAGATTCTTCAGAAGAAACGCAATTGAACCCTCCTTTTGGCCCTGGTAAACTGCAGGAGATAATCATGTGCCTACGTGCTCTTGCCGTCATGACTTGAAAGGGGGTTGGGAGTATGTATGTAAGTATGTTGAACTTCTTTCGCAACGTATGTAGCCAGCCGTGCTCATCAGAGGTGTTGGAACAGCACAATCCGGAGCATTTCCCCCCCTCAGTGTTGATATCTTACACCGTGCTGGGTGATCATTTTAGGCCGAGTCGACTACAGGGAGGGGATGTCCATGCCAGCTTCAGATATCACTATCCCCCCGAAGGAGTGTGTGCATGATCAGCAATTGAACACTGAGATGGCAGTGCAGCATGTGTAACTATGTTGCTACTCGCTGCATGCACACGCACACAAAATATATTTTGCTTGCTCTTACGCAGCCTGCACATTCACGATGTATACACATCCTGACTACTGCACACAAACGTATACCTGACATGCTGATATATTTGAATATTACAATTCTTAGTCAGTCCACTGGTGGATGAGAGCCTCCGATTGGTGTATGGGTCATGAAGGTTATTTGGCCATACGTCACCACGCTGATTTGTGCTAGTTGGTAAAGTTGTGAGCATAGACGTGTGGGCATAGATGTACAATACAACATCACCTTTTGCTGAAGTACCCTCTGTTGTCTACCACACAGCCCCACAGTTAGTCTAAAGCCTACCTTATATATTTTTTCGATATCTCTGTAATTGTACTTTGATCAGTCTAGGAATAATAACCTGACTAAGTTGATTTGCGCTGCAGGGAGTTTACGATTTGGCATTGATGTGTCTTTGTGCAATGTTGTATATTTCTCACGTGACATGGCTGTTTTAGTTTTGATATCTGTTAGCTTTGTTGCAGTACTTTGTTTTGTTTTTACATGTTTTCATTTTGGTGACCCTGGTCACGCTTGCAGTAAGACTTATCGTGGTCTCTCGGTCTCAAGCTGGTTCAACAAATGACCTTGAATGTGAAACTTGACACGATGTAACACTCGCCATTTATGATGGTCGCCTATTCCAGGCGCCATCAGCGCTCAACCCTGCTAAGCTGTTGTATTTAACATCATAAATGAAAATAAGAAACAACTGCCACTATCTTTACTGCATCTCGCAAAGTTATCAAATGGAATACCGATTGATCGTGATACCCGCCCCCCACGCCCGCACCCCCCCTCCACTGCAGAGTTCCCACGGGAAGTTGAAGAGCTCGGAGGGGCCCCCCAACCTGCCTGGTGTGCAGGCACCCACGGGACCGAGCCAGAGCTCGGCAAAATCCAACGGCGCCAGCGACCAGAACACCAAGGTGAGGCCTCTTCCCCCCTCACCTCTCGCTGTTGTTGGAGCAGCTTGCGCGAGAGGGTAAAGTCTTAACGCCTCGCCTCAACTGTTGCCAGTGAACTCTCGTGAGCGGATTATTAGAGTGGCATATCAGCCATGCTTGCGAGAATATTACATTTATTGACAAGTGCGGATTTAATTATCCTGATGGTCACTAACTCGGTGCCATTTTACAAAATATCAAGAACTTAGGAAATTCAGGCCCTGTTGTATGCCCCCCCCCCCCCCCCCCCACGTCTCCTCTGAAAGCCGGGTCGACAGGCCGGTGTGAACGGCTCCAGCAGCCGCAAGCGTGTCCCCACCTCGGAGAAGGCGGGCAGCGGAGGCACCGGCGGGAGTAGCAGCCGCAGGCCGGCAAGCGGGCGCCGCCTGCGGCTGAAGAACTCGGGCTGGACCTGCTCCGAGTGCCAGGAGCACTTCTCGGAGCGCGAGGTCTACGTGAGCCACGTGAAGCGCGTCCATGGAAAGGTGAGCTGCTGACACTGCTGTCGCGACACGCTTTTTCGGCGAACGCTGCGAAGTAAAACAATTTCCGTAAAAATTTAACTCGGGCACTGAGCATTCATCAGAGTTGGTTACGTATGGTGCAAAAGAAGTTCAATATATATACATGTAGTTAATCTGTTGGCGATTATGAGGGGGCACATTCAGATTTGTCGCTCGTGCCGTGCATGCGATGCAAGTCCCGTGGCTTGATTTTCATACAAGCTGAATTTTTATTGCGGATATACACAAGGGAGATGGATTTTTAGATTTCCCACCGATTTCTAATGTCTTGCATATTTGTAGAGACCTCATTATGCAACGTTGATTGGTGTAAGCAAATCACGTGGGCAATATTGGACAAAGTGGGACCAGGAGAGTTCAAAAATGTAATAAGTACATTGCGGTTGGTGGGAGATAAATAGATGTTTTGAAATATGTAATTATCTCTAGAATTTCTCCCTATTATTTTAGTGGGCTATCTATAATCATATGACTGGATATATTCTAAGTAAATTATAAGTTTACGGCACTTTACGCAAGAGCAGAACAACAGTCGGTGTTCAGTTCAAGAACGTTTTAAGCCGACAGCGCTAGCGCCGAGCAGCAATTTGCTGTTTTGATATGGGATTTAGTACTTTATAGATGTAGTGTTTTTCTGCGTTCAGCCGATAAAGAAGTACCCTTGCCGGCAGTGCGACCGCTCCTTCAGCTCCTCGCACAGCCTGCGGCGCCACATCCGCATCAACCACGAGGGCATCCGCAAGGTGTACACCTGCTGGTGAGTACATGCACTTGCACATGCACTCGCACAAGCGTCACCTATTGGAGAGAGCGCATACACCTCTACACACACACATGCACTTGTGTGCACTCGCACACGCTAACACCACCAATTGGAGAGAGATCACATGCATATGGGCACACACACACACGTACGTGTATGTGCATGCACACTTATGTATGCGGGTGCGTACACACACTACCCAGTGGAGAACTCGCTTGCGTGCACGTGAAGCTCACGGGCGACTTACCAGGCATGTGACGATGCATCAATACATTTGTTGAAATCGATCCTTACAATCGTGGAACATGCACCAAATCGTGTGTGTACAAATCGATTACCTTTGATTCATGCAAATTATAATCACATTCTGGTATCTGGGCCTTTTGGGCTGTTGGGGCATGACCATTTCATTCACCAATATTTTTCCATAATCTCAAGAGGTTTTTGGGTTAGATCGCGTAACTATATAAATGTGTCGTTAAAACACGCCACCACCCGACACAGCCAACTAGTAAAGGTAGGCATGCATTTGAATAATATTATCTGATTATTCGATTCCACGGAGTACTAAGACGGTAGCTATCCGAAGGGTTAAAGTTAATTTGATTTCTTTCAATTTCGATAGATTATCTAATTAGTCTTGGCCAGTAGAAGCTAGTTTTGCACAAAACTTCAACATTATCAAAATCTATATTTTTTTACAGTGGTCTTTTAACTTATCCCTGTTATGATTGCATTGCATGCACTTTATACCTTTTAGGTAAATGGAGCTAACACAACTGTACCAACGAGACACGACAAAGGAAAACGCAAGTGCCAACGAGATGGTCGATTCTTTCATTGATCCCAAATTGTGACAAATTAACATCGCTGTAGGGGTGGGGGTGGGAAATTATTACTTTGCCATGAGCTACCCTGGTGGTGGTGGCGTTGTCCCTGCACCTGCAACCCTTCCGACGTTCTCCCTTCCCGTGGCGAGCGCAGGTACTGCGAGGACGCAAAGCGCACGTTCACTAAGCGCTTCATGCTGGAGAACCACATCCGCTTGATGCACGGCATCAAGGACCCCGACTTCTCCCAGATGCCGGGCATGAGCGCCGGCAGCGACGAGGCGGAGAACACCAGCCCGGAGGTGGGTACCCGTCTGACCGTGTACTCTGGTGTCCCTCCGTGGGCTCGTCCCTGCCTCTACCCCTCCCCTCTCGTATCACCGAATCGCCAGCTCCACATCTGTTCTCCCACATTAAATTGTGTTGCGTCGTCTTCCTTTGATTTACATTTAACCGCCCCCCCACCCACCCAGGCTGGGAACAAGCGGCGGGGTAGCGGCGACGAGGGCCGCGTGCCAGAGGCCCGCGCCCAGGCCATCACGCGGCCCGTCAAGCGCCTGCGCGTGGGCGGCGCTGGCGGGGCGAGCGGCCCCGAGGCCGGTGGGCCCGACCGGCCATACATGTGCGCCAAGTGCGAGTTCACGACGGAGAAGCGCGAGGAGTTCCAACGCCACATCCCGCAGCACCGCACCGACGGCATTGCGTGGCAGTGCAGCGAGTGTGGCCTCTGCTTCACATCGCAACCGTCGCTCAACCGCCACCTCTACATCGTGCACCGCATGCGTGCCAGGTACACGGAGCCCCAGGGTGGCTGGAGAGGGGGCGGGCAATGGGGCGTTCATTCATCGAATTAAAATGTATTCGTACACTTGCGATGTATGCTTCGATATTTGCCTATAAGGATTGGTTAATTATAGTTTATGCAAAATACATGCAGATGATATATTACGTTCGTGCTAATGAAACAAAGCAGTACGAATGAGACTGAAAAGAATCGACACTTGAATTGAACTGTCATTTCAAAGTTTAGTAACATTTAATGTATTCTAAATGTTAGACCCAATATGTGCTTTTTTGTACATCTCATTGCGTTAATACAATCCCCGTTGTATTTCGTACGACAGCCCCATAGAGACCGACTCGTCTGACCGCGGTGGGGATGGAGGTGACGGTGCCAGTGCTGGCGGCACCGGGGAGTCGCTGAGCGGCGGGGCCGGCGGGGGTAGTGGCGGTGGTGGCGGCGGCGGCGTCCCGGAAAACGGTGCCGACCAGCCTGGGGGCACGCAGCAGCCGTCCCACCACCACCCCGCGGCCGAGCACGGCACGGGCGCCACCGGCTGCACCGTCTGCGGCAAGACCTTCGACAGCGAGGCGGCGCTCAACACGCACCTGCGCACGCACGGCATGGCCTTCATCAAGGCCAAGAGGGCCGGTGCCACCGACAAGTGAATGCGGCACGAGCGCGGAAGGGGGGGGTGGTAGGCGACAGGGGCGGGTGGCCGGGGCCGCTCTCGTTCGGTCGCAGATCGGAAGCTCAAGGTGCACGCAATCCTCGCTTGACGGCGTTCGTCACGTGGGCTGTAGGGTGTCATCTTGGCCACCGGACAGCAACCGCTTACCAAGCACCAGTTTGTCCACTTGTGCATAAACAAATGGTGTTGTAAGGTGTTGTTCCTCCCTGTTAAAGGACAGTGCTGTGATCTATATTCTTGAGTAAAGCATCCATTGGGACACACAAAAGGGAATCGAGCACAATAGCAGGTGAGGAGCACAACGCACTGCTGGAAGTGGCCTTGCTCTGCATGCCAGACTGAAAGCGCACTTGAGAGGCGGTAGTGCGGCCTTGGGAGCGGCAACGGGGGAGTGCGGCGCAGGGAAGCCAGGCTCGGTGGCCGTCACCTCTGCTCACGGTGGATGTTCACACGGGAAGCTGTCATGAAAAGGGACAGCGGTGTTATTTAAGTGACTGCCGTTCACCAGAGATCTGCTCCGTTATACATTTCAAAAAAAAAATAACGACTCTGCCAACGTTTGTTTATGTCCAGAGGGTGCAAATTGAGCATGTGAAGTCTAACCACAACTTCGTACAACAGCTCTGCGGGTGCACATTTAATGTGTTTTAATACGACAACGGTGCACAGCACGCGCACGTCGACACAGGTCCTTGCACAGGGTGAACTCTTCCCTTTGGGGTGGCACACGTTAACTTGACCAAAGCTACGACCGGGGTGGGGGGTGGGCGGTGTTGCCCTGCCTTGCGGGAGAACTGAAGTGGCCGGTTGCCTGCCATGCTGTCCTGGCAGAGTGTTGTTGTTCAGTGTCTTTGCCACCCACTTTGGTCCTTAGGTCGGCGTCGCGTTCGTTGAAACCGCTGTGGCTTGTTCGTGGAGCATTCCGTACGCGGGCGAACAGCAACACATTACACATTTTACTTTGTAATGCTGCCAAATCTTACGAAACTATCTTTTTGGATGGATTTTTGTAAATAAGTGTTCTACTTTTATGTGTAATATATATGGATTTTTCCAAGTACAGTATAATAAGGTTTTAAACCTGCTTTTTAGAATGGGGCACACGCTCCCCGAGAATCTGTTCCTCCGATTGCCCCGTTAAAATTGGAAATCAAGAGAATTAATGTTTGTAAAATAGTGCGCACATGAAAATGTGAATCTTTGTTGGAACAATTTTCATTTTCCACATGACTTGGTGATATCGCAGTGTTTTAACATCGCCATGAAATCTAACATTTTAGGGTGGGACGTAAAATTATGGTTTTCCCCACATCAATGAATAGCCGACAGTTATTACAGATATCTGCGTACGGTTTGTCTAAATTCTTTTGTATTTCGGAACGTTAGCCGTGTAAATGCTGTTGCTTGTGACGCAGACGATGGTGTGCGATTGCGGTGTGCACGCCACACGCGCACAACGCCGCCCGCGTACACGCGCGGCGAGGTTAACGGACACCGGGCGATTGACGGTGGCGTAGGCTGGCGCTTGGTGGTCAGACGTTTTTAGAGAAATCGCGCGAGGTTTCTGCAGGACCAGTCTTGCAGAGAGGCGTGTCTATATCTGTACTTTATTACATTTTACATTTCTGTAATTCTTATTGTTTTGTTTTTCATCAAACAAAATCGGTGGCTTTTTAAAAAAAAAAGACGTTAGTCACTTGAATAGCTATATATATACGTTGCTTTTGAGCTGCTCATTTGTAACAGTTCTTACGCTCAACATTAGTAAAAAAACATTTTATGTTACACTTATGTTATTTAGCTAAATGTAAGCATTACAATAAAAATCTGTATAGTTCACCGGTGGCCCACGAGTAGTTTTTGTCGACTTGGCTGCGAGCGGGTGGGCGGCCGGGGTACTCGGACTCTCAGAAAAACTGGATTGGTGCTCATCATTCAATGCATTCACTCTTTTAATACAAATGTGACATTCAGCAGACGCGTGAACATTTGCATTACCTTAAATGTTGTGCCGATTGTCGGTGCGCATGGTCACACCGAGTGCGGGCACGGAGTATTCCACCGCGCTGGACCGAGGGATTTGAAACCGCGCGTGTGAATCAGCGGCGTGCAAATCAGGGAAGAGGTGGGGGGGTTGCAGTTTTGAGTTTCATGCGTTTACATTTTTGTTCTTGCCTCCTCGCGAGTGAGGTTGTTTGTTTGGATGTGTAGTCACCTATTTACACACTAGATTCAATCACATTCAGGCCACCACCATTCTCACATCATTCCTTAATGGGCATTGATTGGGGAGAATCTGGTCCAATTTTCAGCTCTCAGCCGATGGTGCAAATAGCACGAACATTTCAGTGCAGTCTTCAATCTCTGGTGGCGTCCCAAACGGGAACTTGTCGACCCCAAAGCAATCGCGATTGGCCGAGTTGATTCCCGATTTGGATTTCAACTCTGAACCTCGTAACACCACACTGCTGCCTCTTTACAGAGTAAACATATACAACGTGTTACTGGTAGGAACCTCTCCTGGTTACACCAGCCCACAGGGGATTGTGTCAGTCGTGCAGGGAGGGGCTGGGAGGGGACAGTGGGGCTGAGTGGGGAGGGTGGTGCTGGGTGGGGAGGGTGGGGCTGGGAGGGGTGAGGAGGGTGGGGCTGGGAGGGGAGGGTGAGGAGGGTGGGGCTGGGAGGGGAGGGTGAGGAGGGTGGGGCTGGGAGGGTGGGGAGGCGCTGGGTGGGGAGGGTGGGGCTGGGAGGGGCTGGGTGGGGGGTGGGACTGGGTGGGGTGGGGCTGGGTGGGGAGGGTGGGGCTGGGTGGGGAGGGTGGGGCTGGGTGGGAAGGGGCTGCTCACCCCGTGGTGCCCTTATAAAACTCAACGTTTAACCTACTCACACCGGCTTGTGCCCGCCCTCAGTCGGGCATATTTGCAGAATACACCACGCCGCCGTTGACCCTGGCCATTGACCGAGCAACCCAACGTGTTCCTACCAGCTCCCTCCGCAGGAATGTGTTTAAAGATGTGGTGAGGTTCAACCAGCACATGTGTTTCAAAGGGCGTTGTTGGGTAGATGGTGCAACTTGCTTGTAGTTTTGATAGGTGATGTTTTCACCATACTTGACCATCAGTTTTCTTGCTGGATAAAGGTTGGGTTGTAACTGCCGGTTAGTCCATGAGATAGAAATGTAAATATAAAACTGCTCTCTTCATAAACCGAGGCCTTGCATTACTATAACTCATTGGCCACTGTGTAATTTGTCTTGCATTAGGTATTGATGTTAACTAATGGTAGAGGTAATTAATAGTGACATTTAAAAAAAAGTTACAAACAAACCATATCATGCACTTTAACTTTATTTCTCATGTGTTTTTTTTACATTATGCTTGTTGCTTAGTTTTTCGATTCATTGAAAGGTCATTTTTAGTTCCACGGTCTTATTACGTCCGCGTCGCATTTCAGAGCATGCGTTCGTATCGGTCGTACGCAAATAATACAGGTTTCCTCCGAAAGAGAAATTCATATCTATCCACTTGTTGTGAATTTCCACGCACCAGGAACCACTTACAAAGGGACTGGACAGACACACATTTGTAAATACAAACAGGACATTGCAGTGCAGTCTTCATCCTGAGTCGGTTTGTCATGCGGATGGCACGAGGTGCAGCAAAACATTGTCTGCAGCCACTAATATTCTACGGTAAAAAATAAACTCCAGGGTACACGGTCCATGGTGACACTGGGCATCGCAGCGAATTCCTCCCGAGTGCAACGTTTTTTTGTAAAAAAAGGAAAAGTTTTTTCATTCAATTTTTTTTCAATTAAACTTTAACCAATCGATAGAAAACGTTCCCCGTGGCTGTGGTGGCTTGCGTCCCTTGCTTGTGCTGGCTCAAAAAAACTTCTTTGCCGCGGCGTCTCTGTGGTTCCTGCACATGAAGAGAGTCGAGTGGTCACAACCTGACAAAACGACTTGGTGACGCCGCAGTCATCACAAAGGAAGGCCGCACTCGAGACTGCATGAAACACCTTCAGGAAACATTTTTCCCAAGCTTGAGCCAAAGTTAAGGCTGGTTTCTCGGATTAGCATGGTTGGCTACCTAAGGTGCGAAAGGTCAACAACATACAAAGTGCAAGGATTTTAAGTTATAAAAAAAAATCGGTTAAGTTGTTTTATGCCATTGGCCATAGCTTAAATATGCGTGTACAATGAGGTATGTATCGCTTTGATATTAGATGCTAATTCTTCCTGTTTCATGTGTGACCAAAAAAACAGAACTACGCTCTTAAGGTAAGATGATGGATTTTTTTCTAATTCCAACTTTCATTTTACATCTTTGCCTGTGAATTTTTAGATTTTAGTTTTCACATTTACATTTTCAGACCGAGTCCCCATTGTATAAACACTAAACATGAGAGGAGGAGTCCTGTCTCCCTGGTTCTTGAAAAGATGAGGCAACATTACAAAGACAAAGATTCCCCATATAGCCTTAGACTGTCGGGGCAAGTGCTGTTAGCGAGCACCTATAAAGGCCGGCACTGCACGCGAGGGGGTAGGTGGCCAATACGCTTGGCCGCCTTTTGTCTCCCTCGCAGCGATGCTTGCACATCGCACCAGGTACTCATTTGAGGCCGAGTCAACCTTGGGGAGGCCCAGGACCGGTTCAGATAATCGTCACTTGGTGTTCGCCACGAACGGGAATCGAACTCGGGTCACCAGGTTTGTAGCACAGCGTAACGCTGACCGCTCCCCACGTGCCCCCAGGTCTCTCTGGCAGTACATCCTGTCAAGATTGTGCAGGCAACGCACTTCCTCTCCCATCAACACGTCAAGTACACCCTTGGCAAGCATCGTTGTACCCCGTGTGCCGTGCTGTTTTCCCTGCAGCTGTAACGAATCGTATGGTATGCCAGCTTTTTGGCCACGCTCTCTGCATATCTTACAAGCTAGACTTTCCCACATCCTCTTGTGTCCTGGACCCTCAGACCCCAAAATCCGGAACTCACACACACGTCTACCAAAGAGCGGGCGAGGTTGCAGGTGCGCGTCCTCACTTGTACGCGAGGAAGCTAAGGATGACGATCGTCTGCAGCGCCAGGAAGAGCAGGAAGATTGCAGGGGGCAGGCACGTGGGTGGGGGGGGCACCTCCGGGCAGCGCATGGGCTGCTCCTGCGATCGCGCGAACGCACGCACACGGGGTAAACAGGTATGTTGAACTTCTTTCGCACCGTGCGTAGCCAACCGTGATAAACATGTACACGTACAACTGCCGTGTGAAGCGCCTCGTAGCCTGGGAACCGGTGACGTACGATGGGCATTGTCATCCGCGGCGACTTTCAAATCGAAAAGGTTATCTCGGGCTGCACAGCAGCTATTGGATTCGACATTCTTGATTGTCAGCGTTCCAATTAAAGGCCCCCTGACCATTGCTATTGTCATTGTTACATCGTTTAGCCGATTGCACAAATGGGCCAAACAAAGTAGTGGCGCTTTAAACCACCGGCGCAGGAAGATGAACTCGCCGCTAGGCAACGTGGCTGTCACTACAAACTTGGGACTGCAGAGCTTGGGCAATCGCTGGCGCCGTCTCGCCGCCTGGCTGCTGCCTTCCAGCTCGTGTCACTCGGTGATTGTGAGAGATGCAGTCTGCATTGACGATGACGACGATGCTATCACTTCTATTGATATGTTCGTGCCAAACTGGACGGAAGCGAGCGGGGAGACGCTGACCACGGGCCGCTGAGCCAGGCTGCCGACGTCTCGCTTGACAAGCTCCAGTGTGTCGCGGATGTGGGTGAAGTGGTGCGTGCTGTCGTAAGGGTTGTCCCTGCCCACGGCGGCTGCGTCTCGCGCCGTGCCTGCGTGCGCCGACACCTCCTCCACCGCACCCCTGTACACACACACGCACGCACGCACACGCACACACGCACACACGCACACACGCACACACACGAGCAGTTGTGTGCGTGTGCGGTGGGCTAGGAACCCGGCGACCAGAGTTCGATTCCGGCACACGACCAACGTCAATGACAGATGTGTTAACTGCTTCTATGTCTCCCATAGGTTGACTCAGCCTTAAATTAGTCCATGGTGTACTTTTTGTGAAAATATCATCACAGGGGAGGCAAAGGTGGTCGGATGTGGTGCTAGTTAGACTACGTCCTTATGTTGTCCTTCATAGGTGTTTGCTACACCTACGCATATCAGTGTGTGTGCACGTGCTATGTTCATGTTGGTGCGTGTGCATTTTCATTTGTTTACATGTATGCACTGTTAGTAAATATATATACGTTGGTATTTGTGTTTAAGCGTGTGTGTATCCTTGTTTATGTCGCAACATAACCACGAGTGTCGTGGAGAATATAAATAACGAAATGACAGTCTATCTCCTCTCCACGTAAAAAAAAAGCCCTTGCACGACTGCACAAATAAACTGGATGGGATCGAAAATCGACGCCGGTGTAGAGTTTTCTCGTCTTGAAACAATGCGGCCAAAATTGTCATCTCTGGCGAGGAGGTAATGTGGTGAACGACGGCGAGCGCTGGCCCGGCAACCGACGGCGTACCGGAGGTGCGAGAGCTGCAGCAGCAGCTCCTGCTGGTGCCTCTGCAGCTCCTCCAGGGCCTGCCCTCCCAGCGGCTGCCACGGGGGGAGAGACAGGGGGAAGGGGAGAAGGATCATCATCGCTCACCGTTATAATCGTCGATCAATCAACTCGCGAAGACAACAGATCTTTTAGGGGCAAGTGCTGCGAGCGAGTAGCACTTATGAAGGCCGGCACGGCACAACAGGGCGTTGGTCCCGGCTACCTGTGTCCCCATTGGCGACGTTTACACACTGCACCAGGTACTCATTGAGGCCGAGTCGACCTAGGGGAGGCCCAAGACCGCTTCAGATAATCGTCACCGGTGTTGGGTCGTCGGGTTCGTCGCGCAGCGCGCTCATCACTGCGCCACCGCTCCAATCAACCCAAGCACGCATGGGCGCACACACACACTGGTGACTATGCAGAGCAAACGCCAAGGACAGGGAACGCAATTTGAAATTACTGTCAACTCAGAGCTAAACAATGTGACTGCATGTCTTCAATTTGAACACACACACAGGGCACGTCTCTGTGTGTGGGTAACAAAATAAGCAAGCGGACATTGTGTCTCCTTCAAATATCCATATCTCCACGCAAAAACACAAGAAGGGTACGCGGTGGGCTGGGGCAGGCCCTGCTGCTCGATGGGAGGACGGCAGCCAACGGAGCGATGAGATCGGTTCTCGTGCAGGTGCTCGGTGGATTGTTACGCGGCAGGATCGCGAGAGATGGCGACGGCTCGGGGAGGCCTTCATCCAGCAGTGAATGGATCATGGCTGACAATTGAGAGCTATAGGGCATGGCGGCGGCGGTGTTGGTGGTTGCGGTGAAGCAGCAGTGTTGCCGTTTGCATCGGCAGTGGCGGCGGTGGCAGTGGCGCGGTAGCTGCTTGCCTGACTGACCTCCCCGGGCCGGCCGGTGGTCGTGTGGGCCAGGAGGTCCACTTGGCGCTGCTGCTCCTCCAGCACGAGCCCCAGGCTGCGGCCCAGCTGCTTGATCTCCATATGGACCTTGTTCTGACCCTCGAGCAATTGCTGCAGGCTGCGCTCGATGTCGACATAGACTCCCGCGGTCGCTCCTGGGCAGGGCGAGAGGTCGCCACGGATTCACACAGCTGACATTTTGACGCAAGAATCTTGGGCCATCTCGTAGCCCAATCCTATAACACCTGGTGTATTGCGCAAGCAATCTATCCCACATCTAGGTACGAACATGGCTCAACTCCCGTTTAGCTTTGCGATCCGACGGGTTCGGGAGCAGTTGGCGTGATTTTGTCGCTTTTACTCTGTGCAGTATCCCAAGTCTTAATCCCCAAGACCAGGGCTTAAATTTCTCACCGAATGTGCCCTGCGTCACCGCGAACAATACCCTGAAGTAGCCAAAGTCGTCGTGAAAGGTATACCGGATGTGGTGTGCCGGGTAGCCGAAATATTTTCCGGGTTGCTGACCCGGACAGGCCCAGCTAAAACGAAGCCCTGCACGAAGTGTGAGCGATTGACCATTACCTCCCTCCCTCTGCTCATCGGCGGCCTCAAGCGGGGCCCACTCCACCTCCTTGGCCTCTGTCGCCTCCTGGGCCCCCGCATTGACAGCCCCCTCGGGCCCGGCTGCCTGTGCGGCCTCCTGGAGCGTCTGTCCCTCAGCGACCGGCACGGGAACCACCGGCGGCTACGAACGCACGGAGAAATGGCGTAAGCACGTGTACTTGTGCTTGTGCGTGTGTTTGTGCTTGTGTGTGTGTGTGTGCTTGTGCGTGTGTTTGTGCGTGTGCTTGTGTGTGTGCTTGTGCTTGTGTGTGTGCGCTTGTGGGTGTGCGTGTGCTTGTGCTTGTGTGTGTGCGCTTGTGCGTGTGCGTGTGTTTGTGCGTGTGCTTGTGTGTCGTGCCGGCCTTCATGGGCGCTCGCTAACAGCACCTGCCCCAACAGTCTGCTCAGGCTGTACGGGGGATCTTCGTTTCTTTTGTGTGCGGCACGTGGAGCGTGCACGCAACTAACATCGTGCAGCATCGCGCAAAAGCAACACGGGAACCACAACATCACGTGTGACACACACACTAACCATACGTCGTGCACAGGGGACATATCGACTGCATGTGGCTCGCCCCAAACCACACACACCATGTAGACACACACAATGTACACACACACATACACAGGTAACACAATGCAATTCGCATGGCACCCACACAAAGGTAACGACCCATAAACACACCACACACAACGTAACACAAACTACACACAGCCGACACACCAACCACACTCAACATATACATGCACTACTCACAGACAGCACAAAAACTACACACAACTCACGCACGAACAACACACACATCGTATAACTCACACACACACCACGCACGAGCGACACGGGACATTTGTGAGCCCAGTAGATGCGACCACGCTGCATACACTTACACCTCACCACCACCTCCTCTCACCACCACCACCACTGCCTATCACCACCATTGCCACTCACCTCCTCCTGGCCAGGCTCCACCAGGCTGTACAGCTGCCACGACAGAACGTCGTGATCATCTGTGACGGAACAATCACGGGACACCGTTATCATCACAATCATCATCGTCATTACCGTCATCATCAATAAAGCCATCATCATCATCATGAGCCTGTCAGCAGGTGAGTCTTTGCGCTTGTAATCTGATGAGCCTTTGAATCTGTTACCTTTTGAGTAATTTAATGTACTAGTTGATGAGCGTGCGAGTTGATGAGCTGGTAAGCCTGTGAGATGGTGAGCATCTGAGATGGTAAGCCTGCGTGTTGTAAGTTGTATTGTACCGGCCAAACCCCCAGTTGCCGCGGAAATGCCGAAGTATCCTTGCGGAGGCAGAACCACGTTGTGCACAGCCACGCACGGCTCATAGTCCTCGGTGCTGGGCGTGAGTCCAGAGTTCACCATCACCTGCACACACCCCACCACAGCACACCAGGCGTCACACACACACACATGCACATTGCAGACACCATACAACCACGCCACACACAACACGCAACACCACACACGCAACACGTACACCACACACACAACACGTAACACCACACATACAATATGTAACACCACACGTGCAACACGTAACACCCCACACGCACCACGTACACCACACACCACACACGCACCACGTACACCCCAGCATTCAATGTCACTTTTGTTTTGTTTAACCGGGTGAGAACTAAAAGAGACCAGGAGAGAGGAGTCGCACTTGTGCTCAAGAGTGAACCCTGGGGTCACCAAGATGACAAAAGCACAGAAAGACAAAGTGCAGCGCCCTCGGCGTGCAGACTCACCGTGAGCGCGCTCCGGTAGTAGGAGACCTTGACGCGGACAGGGTACGGCTTGTTGCGGAAATCCTGGACGCAGTTTCCCTGCGCCTGCGTGATGCCGTCCCTGGGTGGTGATCGCGGAGGAGCAAGGGGAGCGAGTGGAGACACGTGACAATTGGGGGGGATCTTCCGCACCACCCCGCCTGCCGAGCAAATTATCCTGCACCCACCCCCCCCTGCCCCGAACTGACAAATCCTATATAAAAAACGAATTATTGTCTCATATTTATCGTCACATTTGCATTGTTTAGAATTTCTCTAGAATTTTTCTCTGCTGTGCAGTTTGTAGGGTGTTGTTCAACCCCAGTAGCACGCGGTTTAATGAACACATCACGAGAGTAAATGCACACCACCTCCAGCTACACCCTTTGTACAGACCACTCACTCGCATACACACAGCCGATACAGCCTCTTCACACACACACACCTAACACCCATCCAAACACACCACCTGGCAACACACGGCCGATATCGCCTCCTGCATAGCCTCCTTTACACCCCGCACGCTCCCTCCCACGGGCACTCACGTCTGGTGGTTGTAGTTCTGGGTGCCGTCGTTCACCAGCGCCAGCACCATCGGGTTGTTCCTCTATGGTCGCCAACGAGACAAGCGGTGAGGCACGTTACTCACGATCGTCAAAGTGCGCACACAGAGTTAGCAGCGTTCGAGGGCACGGGCAGACGGTGAGACTTTTTAAAATTATATATTATTTATTTTACCAGGAAAGGCCCACTGAGCTCTAGAGCTCTTTTTCAGAAACGGCCTGGCCACAACTGATAACTCAACGAAGTGGCTTATCACGTGCAAATGTATAGCAGTAAAATCCTCTAAACGCATGTTTCTAAATGTGGAGGGAAAAACCGGAGAAAGATCCACGCGACCACGGGGAGAACATGCAAACTCCAAATGTACATGTATCAAGGTTGGGTTTGAACCCACGACCTCCTGTATACCTCGCCGTGAGTATAACATTTAAATAATCATGGATCAAGTTTCAAGATGATTTTGTTAAACCAGGTGAGAACTCATGAAAGCAGCATAGGAGTCTCATTTGCAAGAGTGATCAAGGTGAATGAGTATGTGATTGAGTGGGTGAATGTGCGTGTGTGGGTGAGTGCCTGTGAGAGTAAGTTAATACACTGTGGTTCAAAGTTAAAATGAGGACATGTGGAGATGGAGACATGGGGGTAGAGATTTATAATTATCATTAAGAACCTGAGGGGTTGGTGAGATGAGGTTATGGTAATGGCACAGGGAGATCGTGGAAAGTGGGACAAATGAAGATAGAGATGCATGGCAAATGTGGGACAAAGTTCAACTTAGCATCAGACAAAGGACACTATGTATGTCTGTATGTTGAACTTCTTTCGCACCGTACGTAGCCAACCTTGCTAATCGGAGGTGCGGGGGAAGATAGAAGTACAGAGAGACATTGAGTGACAGTGAGCTGGGAACACAGAATTAGACTTTGAACTTCGTGAGATGCACACGAGAAGACAGTGGGACGCTAGGACATGGGGACACAAGAGATGAGAAGTGACAGGGGGGGGGGGAGACTGTGAGCCAGGTGATGGGGGGAGAGGGGAACACGAGAAGAGGGTCGACACAAACTCCTGGGCTTCTCCGTGTCCTCGGGCCTCACCATGCCGTCATTGTCGAAGGAGTCGAGGAAGACGCCCAGCCCATTCCAGCGGTCGGCGGCGCCAAACACAGGTCCCTCGGAGCCCTGATTCGCCGTGTACCACAGGGCCTGCGCGGAGGAGAGATGGGGGGGGCACCCGGATGGATGGGGAGAGACGACGGGTTGTCAGAAATAGCGTCGAGATCTAGAACGCCGGTGAGCGAGGTAGCCAGGTGACTCGTTATGTCAGAGTTGCAGAAACTGAGCCAGCGCCGCTGACACCCAGGGTTCAAACCCCAGGTTTCAGCCACCCAGGGTTCAAACCCCAGGTTTCAGCCACCCAGGGTTCAAACCCCAGGTGTCAGCTACCCAGGGTTCAAACCCCAGGTTTCAGCCACCCAGGGTTCAAACCCCAGGTGTCAGCCACCCAGGGTTCAAACCCCAGGTGTCAGCCACCCAGGGTTCAAACCCCAGGTGTCAGCCACCCAAGGCGACATCGCGCTCTCAAGTGAAGAAGCGCGCCGACGGTCTTCGCCCAGCCGCCGATTATCGCAGTAAAAAGAAACCCCATCTTATTTCATTTGGTGTTTCAAACAAACGAAAACAAAAATTTCCAGCTCTGAGAAGCCAAAAATGTTGGTTTAATGTGTCAAGCGATGAACGCTGTGAGCAGAGCATGAGTGAGCGCCATCTAGCGGTGGATGAGGGACCCGCGTGAGCGATGAATGCACAACGGCGTTCTTCATTGCGAGACATGCGGGTCACTGGCAGCCCCTGGTGGCCTTTCGTGCGGCCCCCCACAAAGAGTGACAACACCCCACCCCCACACCCCCATCGTTGTGCTGTCAAACCCAATGGTTTGAAATGTGTGGCGGCCCTCACACTGGTATGTGTCTTATCAGCGGAAGTGGCCCACCCTCTGAAAAATCAGTGAAGAAGACTGCAGTACAAACACGACTCGGGTAGCACTGCCGGACGACGCGTGGCACAACCCAAACACGCGTCGGAGAGCCACGCAGCACCAGCGAGAAAAACTGCGCAGCGACATCGAACCGACTCCATTCTCTCCGGCCTGCTCCCGTCCCACGATGTGAGCAGAGGTCGGCGCTGTCGGCGCGGCAGAGAGCAGAACCTGAAGTGGGACGTTGTGTCATCTCGCAGCTGCTAAGGCACGGGAGAGGTGCGGCCTGGGATTGCGAGCGATCGTCTTCTTCCGTACGGCGGGGAGTCCATCGGCACCGATAATATTTATATGTTCACCGAAGGTCCACTCCGTACTAAACTATTATTTAGTTTTTATTATTTTTAATTTAATTGTATTTTTATTCACATTTTTCTATCTACGTGACTTTCCCGAAAGAACCAAAGAATATGAATTCCTGCAGTCACGAAAGTTTAAAGTCAAAAATTTAAACAAAATTTTATTTTACCAGGGAAGGCCCACTGAGCTATAGAGCTATTTTTCAGAATGACCTGGCCACAAATGATAGCTCAAAGAAGTGGCTTTTGATGTGGAAATTTATAGCAGTAAAATATTCTAAATGCATGTTTCTAAAATGTGGAGGGAAAAACAGGAGGACATGGATAAAAATCCAGGCGACCATGGGGGAGAGAGACACGCAAACGCCAAATATACAAACGGGAAGGTTAGGATCAAACGCACGACCTCCTGAATACCAGGCGAGGTAGGCAACATCCCGCCACTTGTTCACCAAGTGAACGACAAAGGACCCTTCGGTCACTCCGGCAGAGTGACCGTAAAACGACGGCGGTGTTGTGGAAAAAAATCGGCGTCCTCCGGATCACGTGGTGCCAACTCTGAGGAATGATCTCATCAGTCAACACGCACTTTAAGCGGCCTTGACTTAATGCAGAGGTTAAAGCCTCAACACCCTTCACCCCTCCCCAAAGGTGTCTCTCTGTTCAAGGGTAAGAACATGCTGGTGCATGGACTTACTCCATGCGGCTGTGCTTGAGACTCGTTGATTGTGCCTGAGGATGACGGTGGTGATGTTTAGCGTTTCTGAATATAAGGGGTGAGGGGTCTAAACGTTTATACCTGTTATACAGGTCACTAAACCACAATGACACGGATGTTGGTGGCTTGGCAAGCACTTTTGCACCTCACACAAGAAAGCAATGATCCTCGTGTAACAACATGCAGTTATATGTGACCTTAAGACTACTGGAATAGAACAAAAGAGACGAAAATAATTGTTATTCGCGATTTAGACCGTGAACCCAAATCGTTACAAAGTGATCGATTCACGAGCATCTAAAGGCAGCCGTGAGTTTTAAAGTGATGCCAAAGCATCTTCACCCGTGTCAAATTGTAAATTGGTAAAACACAATTCTCAACGTATATTTAATTTCAGATACACGTAACACTGCATGACAAAAGCTTCATGTATGTGCCAAATCGATCTTGTTTTTTTTACCGAAATGATTTGCCCCCTCCAAAATGTGCCCCTCTGGGTATCCCCCCCCCCACCTCCCAACCCCCTTCCCTCCCGCTCACGGCCGGTGAGCCGCGTGCGCGAGCGAGCCGGTGCCACCGCTCACCATCCCGTCGGCACCGACGGCGCCGGTCCCCGTGACGCGCAGCGTGACCTCCACCTCCCAGTGCGGCAGTGCCACGGGGTTGCGGGTCCACACAGAGCCGTGCTGCTCCCGAAGCGATGGCGCCAGGCGAGCCTGCTCCGAGGTGACCAAGGCGTCTGCGCGGACGGACACGCGAAGAAAAACGAAACGTCTCCAATTAAGGACAATTTATTTTGTCTATATTTCACTTCTTCTACAGTTTTTCCTTTGAATTTTGTATTTAAATAAGACATGTGCTGGGACATCCTCAGACAGAACAAGTTGCCTTCAAGATTTCTGGTGGCACGATTTGTGGATCGTGACGAGATCATCCAACACTCCCAACCCGGTGGGTTCAGCAGTGGTCAGATGGCAAGTACAACAAATTGGATTGTAATTATCCATTTGCGTAAATTCCTTGAGGGTTTTCCCCTTGCACTGTATACATAGGTATTCGTCAGATATTCCAATACGCCAATAACAAAATAAGACTGGCCAAACATCTCAATGCAGGGCTCTCTTGAAAAAGGGGTCTTGAGACTCACTGAGGCTGGCAATGCAGCAGCAACAATACATCGTGATAAACACATCAGCAACTCAAACCAACGAGTCAACTTGCTTGACCGAGCGCTGGCTTGGGTGGTGCTCAATCATTTGTGTTGGGAACCCTGATCCAATGAAGGACATTCCACATTCTTATGGCAGGGCTCGGTCTCTGTCGACTTTCCACAAATTGGTATCCACTTTAGCAGCCCACCATCATATCGATGATGGTGAAGACGTTAACAGGACTACGTGCAAACACAGTAACTGCACTCTGGCCACGTGATGTACAGCATGTAAAGTAACACTTTATTTATTATCTCAAAAGCACTTTCAAGCGGTGGCTCAGCCAAAGTCTAAACTCGAGCTGTCAAACCCGGCCACGTGGAGGGAGGGAGGGGAGGGAGGGGGTGGTCTCCCACATCTTCTGTCATTGGTAGCCCTGACCCGCTCATGTAAATTCCACGTTCCCATGACAGGTGGCAAGTAGGTCCTATTTTAGCAATCCACTGCTGGATGGAGGCCCTTCCTCCCACCCCCACGCCACTACAGGGTCATTGGGGAGGGGGCTTGGGGATTGTGATCACACTTCCACCCCAACGCTGGTGAATGTGCTGAAGCGTGTGGGTGGTGAAGCCTTGGTGGGGGGGGGGGGGGCACAAACGTCGGAACATAAGTACAGCACAAGGGAATGGTGGCGTCGTGGAAGCACGCCGCGGATTTGGCCAGAGAGGGCTTTGTGGAGAGGCTCCATGTGGCCGTGCCCGAGTGACGTGGCAGGCGAGTCCACGGCTCGGCTTTGATGACCTTTGACAAATCTCACGCCTTGATTGATTCCACGACGATTCAACAACGACTACAGCAATAACTTTAAAACAAACACATTTACAACTTGCGTAGTAGAGAGTTCGGCTTCTAGTAAACAAATTACGCGTAAAAGTCGTGGTTGCAGAGCAAAGTTGATTGATACAACCCATCATCATTAAAGTAATTCCTCCGTGGGCGATAAATGTATCACTTTGAGAACCAATCTGCGACAGACAACGGTCCATATTTGCACGCAACAGCGTTAACTTGAACACAAGAATATGAACACAACATGTTACACATTTTATCGGCACTCAGATGCGACGACAATGCAATGGGATAATCAATAGTAACAGGTCGAGACGAAGATGATGATTATTGATGACCCTCCTGCTGCCCATGTTGCTATTGATGATGCAGCTGCTGCTGTCTGTTGATGATTGATTGAATGACCCCGATGATGATGATGACGACAACCCATTGTTATTATTGATTATGCTGCTGCTGCTGATGAGACTTGTACTGCTGATGTTGATTCTGCTACTGATGACCACGAATGCCACTGTTACTGCCGATGGTCTTGCCGCTGATGGTGCTGCAGATGATGGGGTGATGCGGCTACTGCTGCTGACGATCACGGTGCTGATGATGATGATACTGCTGCTGATGATGATGCTGCTATTGATGATGGTTGTGTTGTTGCTGCTGTTGGCTGCTGCTGCTGATGCTGCTAGTGGTGGTGGTGGTGATAATGGTGATGATGACGGCGATGATGATGGTGATGATGATGGTGGTGATGATGGCGATGATGGTGATGATGATGATGCTGCTGCTGGTGGTGATGATGCTGGTGATGATCACGGTGCTGCTGATGATGCCGGTGATGATGCTGGTGATGATGATGGTGATGATGCTGCTGCTGATGATGGTGATGATGATGATGATGCTGCTGCTGCTGATGGTGATGATGCTGGTGATGATGCTGATGATGATGCTGCTGATGATGGTGATGATGATGGTGATGATGATGGTGCTGATGATGATGATGGTGCTGATGATGGTGATGCTCAGCTCACTTCCAAGCAGGAGCCACGACCTCGCCATCACCCCGTCCTCGTGGTCGAGTCCCGGTCCAGAGAAGCTGAGATGAGGCTCGGGCCGCCTCGTCGGGCCGAGCTCCGTGGGTGACGAGGAGGCGACATCCACGAGGAGGATGGTGGCGATGATGACGATGATGGTGGTGGTGACAGTGGTGATGTTGGGGATGACGGAGAGCAGACGTGGCGACGATGATGATGATGCTGACGACGGCGATGATGTGGTGGTGGTGGAGCGATGGGGGTCCGGGTCACGAACGTGCAGCACCATGATGGGTAGTGGTGGTGGTGGTGCTAGTGGTGGTGGTTAGTGTGTGGTGGTGGTGGTTAGTGTGTGGTGGTGGTGATTAGTGTGTGGTGGTTGTCGCGGGAGTGGTGATGGCTGCTGCTGCTGCTGCTGCCGCCGATGATAACCGGAGCCGCCGCTGTTAGTGTTGTGGTGATGACGGTAGCGGTGTGGTGGTGGCGGTGGTGATGGTGGTGGTGTTACAATGGGCCGCTCTGGCTGGTGGTGGTGGTCGCGAGATGCTGCTGCTGATGATGATGATTATAACGGCAATGAGACGCCCACAGCACCGCTACGGCGACGTTGGTGGTGGTTGTTGATGTGGTTGCTGTGATTGCTGTGGTTGAGCTGGTATCGCGATACCGACTGCACTTCGCTCCCGGCCTCGCAACCCGTTAAGTGGAGCTTGGACCCGGCCGGTGACGACGGTGACGGCGGTGGAGGTGGTGACGATGGTGGCGGTGGCGGCGCAGACGAGGGGCGCAGCGACCTCCAGAGGAGGCAGGCGGCACTGCAGGAGCTGTGAAGATGTTCACGGCAGAGGAAAGAGTGGAAGACACGGGGCCAATTGTCAAGTTACACCGGGAGATGGACACTGGAGATAGACACTGGAGATGGACACTGGAGATGGACACTGGAGATGGACATGGGAGAGGAGATACACACCTGGAGGGTCGATCATCTTCCGCGACGCGCCTGTATGCGCTGCATGCTGAACTTCTTTCGCACCGTGCGTAGCCAACCTCGCTAATCGGAGGAGCGCATCTGGAAATTCAGCGTTGCTAACACAGTCGAAGCGGCTTAACCAGGCGAGGTGCACATGGTCATCACCACCATCACCACCATCATCATCAACATCATCATCACCATCACCACCATCACCACCATCCCCAATCATCACCGTCCCCACCATCATAATCACCACCATCACCACCATCACCACCATCCCCAATCATCACCGTCCCCACCATCATCATCACCATCATCATCACCATCACCACCATCCACAATTACCACCATCCCCACCATCATCACCATCACCACCATCCCCAATCATCACCGTCCCCACCATCACCACCATCACCACCATCACCACCATCCCCAATCATCACCGTCCCCATCATCATCACCATCATCACCACCATCCCCACCATCATCACCATCATCATCACCATCACCACCACTATCCCCAATCATCACCGTCCCCACCATCATCACCATCATCACCACCATCCCCACCATCATCACCATCCCCACCATCATCACCATCATCACCACCATCACCACCATCCCCAATCATCACCGTCACCACCATCATCACCATCATCACCACAATGAAGCCACGCGAATCACGCTCAGCAGAGGGAAAACGACCACGAGCTCTCAGCGTGGAGAGAAGGGGAGGTCTCTAGATAATCATCATTGGGATCTCTCATCGATTGATGATTTTGGCATCGACTCCAAAGGATGCATTTGAACGGTGAGCTCTGTGCCGGCAACGGGGTGGAGTGGCGATGCGGTGGTGAGCGCATTGCCGCAATGGACCTGGACACCTTGGATTCCCGGCCACGGCCAACATCAGCGAGTGGCGAGCGATATCTGAACCTGTTCTGGGCCTCCCAGGCCTTTCATGAGCCCACACTGACCAGCGTGGTGAAGTATGGTCAAACAACCCCCAAATACAACCGAAAGGCGTGTAAAAGCCTTCATCCAGTAGTGGATTGATAAAGGGCTGTACTGGACATATGTGAAAACAGAGCTTCATAGATCATCGGATTCCTCCAGTATAAAATACATATTCTGATTCTAATATATATTTGAAAAATGCTATTTTTGCTTGCTTCGAATTACATTGGCAGAAAGAGTAGCAACGTGGATGTGAGAACGCACGCGGCTCATGCCATTTAAACTGTTAACTAAAGTCGGTGTGGCGTGGACAGGACTTTTCACGGCTAGGAGGATCGAGAATCATCATAATACTCATAATAATAATACTCATAATTAGGGAGAGGCGGCCAAGGAATGGAACGCGTCCGAGAGTGCAACCACCGTGGAGGAGGAGACGGAGCGACGAAATTAGTTCATGTGCAAGGTTGCTGTGTGGGTTCGCTAGAGCGCAGGATGGTGACAGGCAGATGCGTCTTGGAGACGCCTTCATTCAGCAGTGGATTGAGCATGACTGCTGCCGATGATTATTTTATACGATTTAAATCATCGGCATGTAGGAGCCGTTAATAATTCGCGCTGCTGCCTGTGGGTGTATTTGTGCCACGTATGCATCGGAGACGGTGGTGGGAGGGGGTAGGGGGAGGGAGGCGGCGTGTGGGGGGATTGGAGTTGGGGGGGAGAAATCTCAGCGCAGAGCCTCACTCACTCCGTGGGTGTCTCACGGCACCAACTCACACACGCGCCTCTCACGAGCCTCTCACGGGCGGCGGATTTGCTGCCCTTCAGTCTTTGATGCGGCTATGAAAGCGTCACTCGCCACTTTGGCGCAAGATATTTAAACGTAGGGCGCGTACGTCAAAAAAGACAATATTTTCGGTCAATAACACTGCGAGAAAACACATCTATATACAATGTGTATATATATTGTTTACCCTTTTAAAGTCGCGGTGTTATTGACGACCGTGTTGAGTGTGTTGTTTGTGAACCACTGCCAACGCAGCAGCAGCAGCATCTAATAATTTGTGTTATTTTTTTCTTCTTAAAAAAACGCGTCGGGGAAGGTTTTGCGGGCATCAACTGCTTTGGATAATTCCGTGGCATTTTCACTTCCCCACAGCAAAGCGACTTCGAACTCCCCATGGTCCTTTTCACACCACCACCGCTGCTCTCACACCACCACTCATCAATTTCACACCTCCGGCTAAGCTCGACTCAGGCATTTATTTATATTCTTTCCAACGTGACAAGTCTGCATTACCGTCATCACTCATCACGAACGAGTCTGCTCTACAGTTACTGAAATGTGTACACTTCTTTGTGGGGTTGATGTTTTCCTGCTACCGTATTCTCCAGATAATAAGACGCACTTTTTTGTATTTAGAGAAAAAGTTGGGAGAGCGTGCGTCTAATACTCCGATATGTTGTGTGTGTTAGAGACCACATTCGTATCGCTTGATTGGCACAGGGAACAAGTTTGCGGTGCGTCTTACAATCCGGAAAATACAGTACGGGTTCAACATTTTCCGTGCGTCTCGCCTCGGTAATTTGGGGTTTCGGTTTTTTAAATTTCCGTATTTGTCTTTGTAACCAGAGTCCCCTTGAAATAGCGACTCGATCTTAAACGGATGTTCATAACCCCACATCTTTGTATGTTGTTGTTTTGTTCTCCAGCAATGTTCTATCCACTGCTGAATGAAGTTGTCGCCATCCCATGACAATAATTCTCGCTCCTACACTCGAGCTCATTTCACCACTCCATCTCCACGGTGGTCGTCCCCACAGGCACGTTCCTTCCTTCGGTTGCCGCTGTCAGCGGCCCTTCCCCTCTGGCCACCATCCCTTCTCAACAACACGTCCGACCCAAGGACACTCATCTGAAGCGACTCTGCACTCCCTCGCTTGGCAGTTCACCCCAGACGCACGTGCTGCTGCTCTCTTTGGTCTCGCATTGTGATCCCAAGCGATATGAAGAGGTCTACATCACACGAGAAGAACATCTTGCATCTGATGCAACAAGGGATCCATACGGTATGAGACGAGGGATCGATCGTGTGTTTAATGAGACGTGGGTTCTGTATTGTGCATGAAATCGGGCTCAGTTGAATCTTGGCCAGGTATATAAACACGGCATTAAAACAACACTTACTACGAATCACTGTTTCCTTTTGAAGGGTGCAGGCAAGAAGCTAGCCATGTTGGCAATGATTCAATATTCTTAGGCCCCTATGGTGCTCAAAGACTGGGATTATGTGTGAAATCAGAGGACGGTAGACTAAAACATGTGGAGATAGTTCTTTGGTTTTTTCGGTAAAGTCACGTATAAAAATAAAATAATAAATTAAATAATAGCATACGACGTTTCGATTGCAACACAAGCAATCATCATCAGGTATAATAAAATAGCGACATAGAATATAACCAGAAAACTATAGACAGACATATAAGCAGACAGATATCACCAAGATACATAGAGAGAGCAACCCAGGTCCAGAGAGAGGTGATCGTCTCTGTGGGGTGGCCTTAAATAGACAGAGGGGGGCGGAGGCAGAGAGAGGGAGGGGGTAGGGAAAACATTTACATGTCAATGAGTACGAAGGGAGGGGAGTAAGGTAAGCAGGCTTAGAGGGAGACAGAACACACTAAATTAAATAACCTAGCAAAGTATCGAAATGTTATGTAAAACGACACAGAGAGTCGGTCAACACACAATTAACGCATTGCCTGGTCGATTACGTATTTCAAAGATTGCTAAGTTAGAATTTAAGTGTGAAAATTCCAAAGAAAGACAAAACATAAAAAAGAGGAACGGAGACACACAGACAGAGCAGAACCTAAGAACGATACAAAACGAGTGTAGACAGAGAAAATTACACTAAATATACAGGCAGAGAGAGAGAACAAGAAACCCAGAGAGAGAGAAAAAGGTAAACTTGGAACTTCCCCGTAGAAGTGGTTCAATCTTAATTTTGGAGCTTTCGTGACTGCAGGAATTATTCTTTGGTTTTTTCGGTAAAGTCACGTATAAAAATAAAATAATAAATTAAATAATAGCATACGACGTTTCGATTGCAACACAAGCAATCATCATCAGGTATAATAAAATAGCGACATAGAATATAACCAGAAAACTATAGACAGACATATAAGCAGACAGATATCACCAAGATACATAGAGAGAGCAACCCAGGTCCAGAGAGAGGTGATCGTCTCTGTGGGGTGGCCTTAAATAGACAGAGGGGGGCGGAGGCAGAGAGAGGGAGGCGGTAGGGAAAACATTTACATGTCAATGAGTACGAAGGGAGGGGAGTAAGGTAAGCAGGCTTAGAGGGAGACAGAACACACTAAATTAAATAACCTAGCAAAGTATCGAAATGTTATGTAAAACGACACAGAGAGTCGGTCAACACACAATTAACGCATTGCCTGGTCGATTACGTATTTCAAAGATTGCTAAGTTAGAATTTAAGTGTGAAAATTCCCTCTAAGCCTGCTTACCTTACTCCCCTCCCTTCGTACTCATTGACATGTAAATGTTTTCCCTACCCCCTCCCTCTCTCTGCCTCCGCCCCCCTCTGTCTATTTAAGGCCACCCCACAGAGACGATCACCTCTCTCTGGACCTGGGTTGCTCTCTCTATGTATCTTGGTGATATCTGTCTGCTTATATGTCTGTCTATAGTTTTCTGGTTATATTCTATGTCGCTATTTTATTATACCTGATGATGATTGCTTGTGTTGCAATCGAAACGTCGTATGCTATTATTTAATTTATTATTTTATTTTTATACGTGACTTTACCGAAAAAACCAAAGAATAATTCCTGCAGTCACGAAAGCTCCAAAATTAAGATGTGGAGATAGATAACGCATTCTGCTAATCATTGATTTTAGGACTCGGCAAACAAGACAGTGCGGTGACACTTATGTCCTTCTTGATAACAAAATAACCTCAGAAAAAGTTTATCTTACAAACCCAACTGTAAAATGTACTCCCTCGAACTATCCACAGTCATAAAAATTGAAACGTCTTCAAGTCTGAAGGTAAAAGTCTCTCGGCCGTCACCAGAGCATGAGTGAGACTTTGGATTAATAACAAGGTGCCATGGTGTAAAAGGCTGCCGTAGCAGACTTGCCATCCAGAGGCAGCCGGTTTGATTCTATCTCCGGGCGCGGCGATTGAAACAATAGCACAAGTTTATTACATATTCTTGGTTCTTTCGGTAAAGTCACGTAGAAGGGAAATAATAAAATAATATAAATATGAAACAATACAAATTCTCACGACGTTTCGCCTGCAACACAAGCAATCATCATCAGGTGTGAAATCCACAGCAAGAAAACTTGAAAAGAGTGGCGGCTTTTCTTGCTGTGGATTTTACACCTAATGATGATTGCTTGTGTTGCAGTCGAAACGTCGTGAGAATTTAGATTTTTTTATTGTTTTATATTAATGTTATTTTATTATTTCCCTTCTACGTGACTTTACCGAAAGAACCAAGAATAGGAATCCCTGCAGTCACGAAAGCTTTAAATCAAAATTAAAGTTTATTACATTCCTCGCCTGTCACACCACCGCCTCTGACCACCCTGAAATATAAATAGGTACACGCATAGTCGATCGATCGGCAGGTCGATTACGGTGGCGTAAAGTGTGGGTAACGACAAAACCATCGATGAAATGGGCTCTTCCAGAGCTCCCCTTGAGCGCGGTGGCCCTTCCGTCAGCAGCGGCTGCAGCAGAACACTGCAGGGCTGCGCCTGGACCTCGCAAACGAGCACTGCAAAACACGCGTGTACTGTATAATAACACTTTGATTTTATTTAAAATTAGAGCTTTTACATTGATTTAACCCCATCACCTCCCGATGGATTATATTTTGGAGTAGGTACAAAAACAACTTGCCGGCTATGTAAGGGGTAGACCCGTGAATCGACAAAGTCACGTAAGCAAAAATATTTAGATTTAAAATCTGCATCCACGCGTAACAAATTTAGCTCGGCAATAGCATAGCGACTGTTGCCCGAAGTTTATCGAATGACCAGGTGATAAGGACATGGCTTCATCAACGAGCCAATCACGGACGACCGTGACATCCCCAAGATGGGTAGTCGGTTGAATACGTGGGTTTTCACGACTAATAGTCTTCACAATTCTGGATAGTCGCCTGATGAGGCTGGTTGTAATCACCAGAGAAACGTCGTACCCGAATTGTAAATGTTGTGGGTTTACTCTCCAACACCCCGGTGTGCTGTACTAGTAACTAATTAGCACGTTTTGCTTACGTGACAAACCTTGCTAAGTGGTTGTCTCGGGTGGTGGCGGGTTTAACGACACATTTATATTTACGCGATCTCACCCAAAGAAAACCCTTTATTATGGATACCAAGAAGGAGCTGTCCAAAAAGTGATGCTACAGGAAGTCATATCCCACCAGCTGATACCTCTAGAGTCCAGAGTTTGGTTATATGTACCTGACACATCCTCCGTCTCTTTGCATACTCATGTAAGAATCACCAAAAATATATTGTATCTATGTCGATCTTCTTTTGCACCGTACGTAGCCAAACGTGCTAGTCGGAGGTGCGGGGAAGGACAACAACATTTTTATTCCGAATGGCTTTGAGTTCTTTTTTCCGAGCCAACTTTTGTTACTGGACATGAACTTTACCATCGTCATTATGGTTCGTGCACTCTTTCAATTTCTTACTTTTGCTCCTATTGCTCTTTTCCATTTGCTTCATTGCTGTACCGAGTTTTTTTCATGTTTTTGCTTTTGTGAGTTTGCTTACCCAGGCCACTCTTGCAAATTAAGACTCTCTCCCTCTCTCGAGCTCTCACCCCGCTTCAACAAATACACACTCGAGACTTGAGAGTACTCGCCGACGCGACGGGATGGTGGCGGCGATCGGAGTGAATCGTTGGATAAACCGGCGGCGCGACAACCTCAGGCGAAAAATCGCTCGGGCTGAGAAGAAATCGCGATGTGTGGACGGATCTGTTGCAGCTCCAGAAACTCTGCAAAACCCCGACACGACCCAAGGTCTGGCTCGTGCTGCGGCTCTCGCGTGTGTGCTGCTGACGATGGTCAAGCGAGCAATGCCACACAGGGTCACGGACGAAGCTGGCTGATGGTGGGGGCACCAGAAAAACCTCATGGCCCCCCCTCCCCCCCGCCATGGCCACACTGCCACTCCACCTCTCCCGCCACCTAGGGTTGCCACCTCTGGGGAGGAAAAAAAAAAACCTAGACATACCATGGCAATACGAATATTTCACAGTGCCAGAAGAGGGGAAAACTACACACAAATTCATTGCCTCAAATGCCATATGATTATTATAATAACCGAAATCTTTAAGTAACGTCCCAGGAAGACTCGCAGAGTTCCCAAAAACAACTACCTGAAAATAAGACAGATTCTGTGAAAACCGGGACAGGTGGCAACTCTACCCTGATCTAAACCCCCCGCCACCCCCCCGCGCCCCCACCCCTTTACCCCCACGGACTCGGAACCCCCCGCGGGCGCCACTCTCAGCACTTCTGCAGGTCGTCGCGGATCTTCTCGTGCTGCAGGATTCGCCGCAGGTCGCGGAAGCTGGGACGACACGCTGGATCCACGTGCCAGCACGCGCTCATGGCGCTGCTCACAGTGCTGGGGCACAGCTCAGGGGGGTCCATGCGGTAGCCATCCTCCACGTATTCCACCACATCCTTTAAGGGCTGCAGCAACGGGGGTCAAGAGGTCACGAGGTGGAGGGGGAGGGGCGGTAGGGAGGTCAGCGAGGAAACACGAGGTTAGGGTGCAACGTAGATAACAGCATTTGCATCACATCTGTGTGTATGTAGAACTTCTTTCCAACCGTACCTAGCCAACCGTGCTAGTCGGAGGTGTGGCTACACGTGACTGCATCTCAAGACGCTGTTCAAAAATTGGAGGAATTGTTGTTTTGTAGACAGGGAGATATTGGTCACTGTGCGAGTCGATGGGTGTCTGTATAAGTTTATGGGTCTCTGTGTTTATGGGTATATGCGTGCATCTGTGGGTCTCTGGGTGCATCTGTGTGTCTCTGTGTGCGTCTATGGGTCTGTGCGAGTCTATTGGTCTCTGTGTCCGTCTATGAGTCTCTGCGTGCGTCTATGGGTCTGTGTGCGAGTCAAGGGTCGGTGTGCGTAGTAGGTGAGTTGGTGAGTGATGGTGGCGCTGGTGAATATCCTGCCGCTCGCTCACCACGCGGGGGTAGGGAACGCGGCCGAAGGAGTAGATTTCCCAGAGGAGGATTCCAAAACTCCACACGTCTGACTTGGTGGAAAATTCCTGCATCCACGCACAAATGCGAATCATCGTAATCATCGTTTGTAATTTCCTCTGAAGAAAAAAAAAAAACCCACCGTCACGTGTACTTGATCATACAATACAAGACAATTTGCTTTGGTATGTTGCTCATGCAGAGCATCCCAAGTCCCTCTATAATAAGTAGCGTAAAAGAAACTCAATAATCGTTCACCCCAATCAATCCGGCTCAAACATGAGCCAACTCAAATGCGCGTGTTAATTTGGTTTATGCGAGACTTGGGGACTCTGGCTTCGGTGGTGGGGAGTTAATGATGACGTCACCCTGCTGCTGCTCTATTTAAGACCGGGAGCCAGAGCAGAGCCTCACCATTCTGGCGAATTGCCCGATGATGCTGGATGCAATTACCAGAGAAACGTCGTACTTAAATTGTAAATGTTGTGGTTTCACGCTTCAACACACCGGTGGGCTAAAGCAGTGAACTATTTGTCTTTAGTCAACGTGACACTTTTTTACTGATTGGCCGTGTCGGGTGGTGGAGGGTTACGATACATGTATAAATAACGCGATCTAAACCCAAAAATGTTGATTATGAATAATATTGGTCGCGAAAGCCTCCCACGTGTTAAACTGACTAACAACTCTCAAAGCCCTCCCTCGCCACGGCTGATCTGAGACGACCGCCAGGAACCGCCCAGAGCTCATCGTGAGCCAATCTCAAGATGCGAACACTCGGAACACCACGTTACAGCGATTCCTGGAAACACGAAGGCCCACGTGCCATGAAGAGGCCATGCGAGTACAGTAGCAAGCCACGTTTAATAAATAACGCCTGACTTTCAACGACATTTCAACACTTCATTCAAATGGCACTGCCTCTAAAAGGGGAACGCATTTAACAGGTGACGTTTTGGGGGGGGGCGATAGTTCTCCTCCGTGTGTGATGAAACATAGCAGAGAGAGAGGCCCAAGAGATTGAGTGAATAATAGTTGGAGACTGCACGATACACCATATACATCGCTTACACACGGCACCCCGTACACGTCGCGATACCCTCTGCACCATGTGCGCCGTGGCGCCATGCGTGGATGTAGCAGGAAGTGAGTGCAGCGAGCGAGAGGACGAACCACCTCCGCTCCACGCCGGCGGCGCTCGCACTGCCGATGCGAGCGACCAGCAGAGGGCGACAGGCGCTTACGCGTCCGGCAGTGCGGACGGGAAGGGTTCAAAGCGCCCCTGGCAGTCGGGGCAGGGGTGACATCAACTCTCTTCCTTATCAAGATGACCTATCGGGTTGCGTACTTCCTCAGACTGTCATTTGTACTGGAGCCTGCCATAGGAATGTGGAATTTCCCACCGCTGGTTCGGGGCCACGATTGGAGATGAGCCAAGTGGCACCCCGGTGGCCCAACTGAACAGGGAGACGCTTTGACCTTTGACTCGAACAATGTGTAGCTCTTAAAAAAATGTACCCGTAAAAACAAAGTTTTTCACTATAAATCCTTTATATGCGTGGCATCGGTTTAATTTTATTATTCATTTCTGTTTTTCTTGAGTAAGCAAGCAAGCAAGTGAAGTTAATATAAAGGATTTAAAAATGAAAGATCACCTCTTGACATGCCCCGTATATTCCCGAGGGCACTAGTGTTGACCCGTTTTACCACTTTCAAGAACCTGGCGGCTTCAATGTAACTGCTCTATAAATAGTCTCTATTGTACAGCGTGGGGGCAGGGATTTCATGCCATGTGGTTAGTCAACATTTGCGTCATCATGAAACGGGCGGCTAGAATCCTCTCGTCCTCTGGCTTCAGATGGCTGCCACCTATGGGTCAAATGATTGTCTGCCACCATTAAGCAATTGTTAATTTAATATTAAACATTTTTTCCCTAAACAGTGTAAAATTTTGGAAAAAAATTTTCACGAAAATTAATTGTCACGCACAACGAGTCTGTGTGCAAAATGTCAGCTCGATTGGATCACGGGAAGTGGGTTAAAAAACGACCGAAAGATTTGCACGGTCATAAGCAAGCAAGCAAGCACTCAAGCACGCAAGAAAGCAAGTGAACCTAATATAAAGGATTTAAAAACGTCGTCCGGTGTTCATTTTGGTGCAACTGGAGGCCTCTTCACGGACGCAATTACGCCGGCACCGTGAAGATGAAACGTTACTGAGGCAATGAAAAATGGGGAAGGGTTAAGTGCCACAGCTGGGGTTAGTGCTAGGGCTCAGACTAAAGCTGGGGTCCGATTGGCTGATGTGGTTAGAATCATGGCTAGTGTCTTGTCGGCCATTTAGGTTAGACTTAATGCTCTGGTCTGTTTGATGTGCTGAATCCACTGCCCATAACAATCTGGCCCTCCTTTCAATGACCATCCATGTACACCCTTGTCACAGCTTGCTCGCTCCCCCCGACGCTGCCCCCAACACAAACACACGCGGCTACAGACGCTGCCCACGTGACTGGGCCGCGAGTCCCGGCTACATCACGAGCGAAAGATCGAGACAGCGAGGGAGACGGTAGTCAAGACAGCGAGGGAGACGGTAGTCAAGACAGCGAGGGAGTGAGCGCGCGGGCAAGCAAGAGGTGCCGTGGCGGCGGCGGCGGCGGGCTACCCACGTGCTTGCGCAGTGCCTCCGGCGACGTCCACTTGACAGGCAGCTTCTTGGTCATGCTGCCCTTGCCCCGCTCCCCCGCCAGGCCGAAGTCGGCCACCTTGGCGGTCATGTCCTCCGAGATGAGGACGTTACGGGCCGCCAGGTCGCGGTGCACGAAGTTCTGCTCCTCCAGGTAGTCCATTCCCTCGCACACGTGACTGCATGCACACGCACGCACGCACACACACGCACGCACACGTCAACACGTGCAATCCAGCACGCAAATGCGCACACACGTGTACGTGCACGAGCTCGCACGTGCATTTATACATAAGCACAAGCACACTCCCGCCCACACTGGGATGTGCGCACGCACACAAACGCACAGACGCGTGCATGCACGCACACGTATACGCACGCGTGTCGTCACACAGAAACGTGCATACATCCGTATGTACGCTCAGACTGTTGGGCCAAGTGAGCAATGAGACCTCCATTGAATTGATGATGATCATACTTCGATTTAAAGCTTTCGTGACTGCAGGGATTCGTGACTTTACCGAAAGAACCAAGAAAATCATCATACTATATTATACAAAAAACTTTTGCTGGCTGGCTGGCTGATGCGCATGCAAGTGCATAGTCGTGACGTCACCACGCACATCTGCGTGATAACATCACCCGTGCAAATGCGAGGGCAGTGCTAGTGATGATTAAGAATCAATATGGTTCGGAACGATGCTGATGACGACGACAACAATGATGATGATGATGTGTCAGGACTTACAGGGCAAACGTGATCTGCTCCACCTTGGTAATCCCCGCGCGACCCCGTGACCTCAGGTAGTTGATGAGGCTGCCCTGTGAGGGGAGGGGGCAGGTGACGGCTCAGACGCAAACTCCCTCCGCTCACAGACGAAGCCGAAACTTCCAAGAAATACGTTTTCATTTTCAAACCAGACACGTAGCGTCGGAGAAGGGGTGGGGCTAATCTTCACTTGATGACACACAAGCTGTCTCGAGTAGTTGGTGGGTTTGGGTGGGGGGGGGGAGGTGGTCAAAATATAGAAATGAGACCGCTAAGCGATGGGCAATGCAGCTTTTTAATGAGCCCAGAAGAGTTCAACCCGAGTCAAGACTCTCTTTCAGAAGGGACCCGATAGTTTTTTTTTTCCACGCGAGTGACTCGTTCTATTGTTCTAGTTTGGACCAGGGCACCGGCACACAATGTCCAACTCTTTTTTCGAATGACATCGCAGGATCCATAAAGTTCTCTCTGAAGTGGACGGCGTGTAGCTCATGGTTTGTACACCCGCCGGTGTCAACCGGGAAGGCGTGCCGGGATCGAAACCAGGAGCGGCGAACACGCCATGGCTCAATCCAAGTCATACTGGGGGGGGGGGGGGGGGGGGGGGGGGGGGGGCAGCTGGAGCGGAATGCACGATGGACAAAATCAGATGGTAAAATCGTCGCCTTTGCCGAGTTCCTTTCACACGGACCTGCATCGTGTGCCCACAGAGGTTTTTGTGCGGCGGCCCTTCAAGCAAGGTGACACCGCGCGTCTGTACGAAATATCCGCGTGAATTGCTACGATCTATTCTTTAATCTCGCCATTAGATTACGTCCCGTGGGCCGGAGGAGTCAGTTTAACACGGATGCTTTCGCGAGCAATATTATCCATAAGAGGTGTTTTGGTTAGATCGCGTAAATATAAATGTGTCGTTAGACCCGCCACCACCCGACACAGCGAATTTGTATTGTAAATGTATTTACAAAAAAGTGTCATTGTTATAATGGGATTATACTCTCCAACACACCGGTGTGCTGTACTAGTGACGAATTGGGACGTTCTGTTTACGGGACAAACCTTACTAGTTGCCTGTGTCGGGTGGTGGCGGGCTTAACGATGCATTTATATTTACGCGGTATAACCCACAGACACCTCTGTTGTGGATTATTAAGCGACGTTGTTTGTCTGCCGTTAAGCGGCGTCGTCCCGCGTGCCAAGAGGACGATGAGGGCAGCCGCTCCGTGCGGACCGAGGCGGCGTTTGCCAGAGCGAAGTGGAACAGATCTCTTTTCTTTTTGCTACGTTTCGCGCCCACGTGATGCAACCAAAAAAAGGACAGAGAGAGAAAAAAATGAAGAGGCCACGCCGGAGTGTCGAGTCGGCACCGGTGAAGACCCCCCCCCCACCCCCGGGGTTTGTGCATTCCAGATTCCAGCCAACCGCCTGTGATCAAACCGGATCTTCCAGTGTGGGGAGTCGATGGAACGCTCAGCCGCGACTTCACGCACACACAAAATACCCCCCACCATTGACTATTGTGGCGTTTCGCATAATAATATCGCTGCAATGGCAGTTCTGAAAAATAAAAACGTGCGTTACACACGTGTGTGTTTGTGTGCAATCCGGGTTCGATTCCCACTCGCGTTCAAAACCAGGGACGATTATCTAAACCGGTCCTAGGCCTCCTCAAGGTCAACTCAGCCTCTTTGTCATCGTTGTGCCGTGAGCAGGAGTGATGGGTGCAGGGAGCGGTAGTGTAGCTGTTAGCGCGCTGCACTGCGAACCCGGTGGCTCGAGGTGGAATCGCCGGGCACACGGGCAGGGGGGGGGGTGGTATTTTGGGTGAGTGGAGCCGGGCGACCTCTCTACCACCGCTTCGCCTCCGAACTCTGTGATGCTGCCATCTCGTTAGCGTCATCGTAGCCGTGGCCTCCCCGTGGGCCTCCCCGCGGCCCTCACCTTGGCCATGTACTCGGTGACGATGTAGAGGACCTCGCCCATCGCCGCGCCCAGCAGATTCACCAAGTGGCGGTGGCGGAGCTTCCTGGTGGGTTTGGGGACAGAGTGGGCGATCGACTTTTGGTTAGAGCGAAGGGACATGGTCCGGGGATAGGGTTAGGAGGTAGGGTCGTAGACTTAAGGATAACGTTAGGGTCAGTGATAGCATTGGTGACGGATACAGCACGAATAACAAGTAAAAAACTCAACACATTCGTCAACAACACTGTGGCCTTTAAAAGCAAAAAGTATGATAGTGTGCGACGTTTCAGGCAATGGCTATGAGTCACAGCAAAAAGGCAGGCCATCGAGGATGAGTGGATAGCAGTTTTAGAGTCGATAAGATGTTTCTAAACCAGGGTAAGATATAGGGTCAGGCTTTGTGGTTAGGGATTGTGTTGGGATTGTGTTGGGGTTGTGGGTTGTGCTCGGGGTTGTGTTAGGGTTCGAGGTTGTGTTTGGGTTAGGGGTTAGGCTTTGGGTTTAAGGGTTGTGTTAGGGTTTGGGGTTAGGGTTTGTATTAGGGGTTGTCAGGGTTAGGAGTTGTGTCAGGGTTAGGAGTTGTGCTAGGGGCTAGGATTAGGTTTTGGGGTCAGGGTTTTTGTCGGGTTTTCCCTCGCCATGATGGTTATCTCGCACATGAACTCACGTCACGATGGTGATCTCGGACATGAACTCACGTCATGATGGTGATCTTGCACATGAACTCACGTCATGATGGTGATCTTGCACATGAACTCACGTCATGATGGTGATCTCGGACATGAACTCACGTCATGATGGTGATCTTGCACATGAACTCACGTCATGATGGTGATCTTGCACATGAACTCACGTCATGATGGTGATCTTGCACATGAACTCACGTCATGATGATGATCTCAGACATGAACTCACGTCATGATGGTGATCTCGGACATGAACTCACGTCGTGATGGTGATCTCAGACATGAACTCACGTCATGACGGTGATCTCGGACATGAACTCACGTCATGATGGTGATCTCGGACGTGAACTCACGTCGTGATGGTGATCTCAGACATGAACTCACGTCGTGATGGTGATCTCAGACATGAACTCACGTCATGATGGTGATCTTGCACATGAACTCACGTCACGATGGTGATCTCGGACATGAACTCACGTCATGATGGTGATCTTGCACATGAACTCACGTCATGATGGTGATCTTGCACATGAACTCACGTCATGATGGTGATCTCGGACATGAACTCACGTCATGATGGTGATCTTGCACATGAACTCACGTCATGATGGTGATCTTGCACATGAACTCACGTCATGATGGTGATCTCAGACATGAACTCACGTCATGATGGTGATCTCGGACATGAACTCACGTCGTGATGGTGATCTCAGACATGAACTCACGTCATGACGGTGATCTCGGACATGAACTCACGTCATGATGGTGATCTCGGACGTGAACTCACGTCGTGATGGTGATCTCAGACATGAACTCACGTCGTGATGGTGATCTCAGACATGAACTCACGTCATGATGGTGATCTTGCACATGAACTCACGTCATGATGGTGATCTCGGACGTGAACTCACGTCATGATGGTGATCTCGGACATGAACTCACGTCATGATGGTGATCTTGCACATGAACTCACGTCGTGATGGTGATCTTGCACATGAACTCACGTCATGATGGTGATCTCAGACATGAACTCACGTCATGATGGTGATCTCGGACATGAACTCACGTCATGATGGTGATCTCGGACATGAACTCACGTCATGATGGTGGTCTTGGACATGAACTCACGTCATGATGGTGATCTCGGACATGAACTCACGTCATGATGGTGATCTTGCACATGAACTCACGTCATGATGGTGATCTTGCACATGAACTCATGTCGTGATGGTGATCTCGGACATGAACTCACGTCATGATGGTGATCTCGGACATGAACTCACGTCATGATGGTGATCTCAGACATGAACTCACGTCATGATGGTGATCTCAGACATGAACTCACGTCATGATGGTGATCTCGGACATGAACTCACGTCATGATGGTGATCTCGGACATGAACTCACGTCATGATGGTGATCTTGCACATGAACTCACGTCGTGATGGTGATCTCGGACATGAACTCACGTCGTGATGGTGATCTCGGACATGAACTCACGTAATGATGGTGATCTCGGACGTAAACTCACGTCATGATGGTGATCTCGGACATGAACTCACGTCATGATGGTGATCTTGCACATGAACTCACGTCATGATGGTGATCTTGCACATGAACTCACGTCATGATGGTGATCTCAGACATGAACTCACGTCATGATGGTGATCTCGGACATGAACTCACGTCGTGATGGTGATCTCAGACATGAACTCACGTCATGATGGTGATCTCGGACTTGAACTCACGTCATGATGGTGATCTCAGACATGAACTCACGTCATGAGGGTGATCTTGCACATGAACTCACGTCATGATGGTGATCTCAGACATGAACTCACGTCATGATGGTGATCTCGGACATGAACTCACGTCATGATGGTGATCTCGGACATGAACTCACGTCATGATGGTGATCTCGGACATGAACTCACGTCGTGATGGTGATCTCAGACATGAACTCACGTCATGATGGTGATCTCGGACTTGAACTCACGTCATGATGGTGATCTCAGACATGAACTCACGTCATGAGGGTGATCTTGCACATGAACTCACGTCATGATGGTGATCTCAGACATGAACTCACGTCATGATGGTGATCTCGGACATGAACTCACGTCATGATGGTGATCTCGGACATGAACTCACGTCGTGATGGTGATCTCAGACATGAACTCACGTCATGATGGTGATCTCGGACTTGAACTCACGTCATGATGGTGATCTCAGACATGAACTCACGTCATGAGGGTGATCTTGCACATGAACTCACGTCATGATGGTGATCTCAGACATGAACTCACGTCATGATGGTGATCTTGCACATGAACTCACGTCATGATGGTGATCTCGGACATGAACTCCTGCAACGTCGACGACTCCATGTGGAGGGACTTGACGGCGACGGCAGTGCCCTTGTACTGGGCCAGGTACACGTCTACGGGACAAAGACAAAGATCCCCCGCGTAGCCTTAACAGCCTCTGTTGTGGCAAGTGCTGTTAGCGAGTAGCACCTATGAAGGCCAGCACCACGCCCGGCCACAATGTTTTAACACATCAGACTAGGTACTCAATTGAGGCCGAGTCGACCTAGGAGAGGCCCAGGACCGGTTCAGGTGCAACTGAAGATTACCCCCCACCCACCACCCCTGCCCCTATGCAGCAGCCGGCACCCCCTTGCCACAAACCCCGATAGAGGCTGTGACGACTCCCGGCTCCGGGTGACCTTCACTCACCTCCAAACTCGCCACTCCCAATCACCTCGCCGAGCTTCAGTTCGTTCATATTTATGACCCGGCCACCTGAGCACAAGCAAATACAAAGACGCCTTGTATAGTCAAGACAGGGGTTTGGGGAAAGTGCCGTTAGCAAACACCAAAGACACACCAATACCACCATTCAACACTAAGTGATGGTGACGTCACCACGGCACCTGTGCCAGGCCAGGTGCGCTTTGAGGCACCTTGGAAAACAGAGACACGCACACAGGCACAAGTATGTGAGCGAAGCAGAAAGTAATTCCTGCTCACCTCCGATCAGCGCGAAAGAAGTTCAACATGCAGTACATGCATGGGTGGGTCAATTAGACAGATAATGAGCGCGTGTGAGAGTGTCCAAGTTTCATAGTTCACGAGTGAGCATGCGAGCGAGTTCGTGGGCGAGGGAGCTTGCAGAAGGAGCTGGAGTGACACTCACAGTTCAAGAACTCCTGCTCCTTCATCGCCAGCGCCGTGCTGGTGAGGCGCGGGTAGGTGAGGCGCGTACACAGCCCGTTGGCGTCGGTCCAGTAGTACTAGCGCACGGACACAACGAAGACAAAGAACCCCCAGGTAGCCTTCAACAGACCGTTGGGGCAAGTGCTGGGTGGGTGGCCAGCACCATGTCCGGCCACCTTTGTCTCCCCATTGCTGATGTTTACAAACCACACGAGCAGCTACAAATTTAAAGCTAAGTTGCCCTGGCTAAAGTTGACCTGGCTTTGAGAAACAATCAAACTCCGGCCGCCGAGTTCAATAGCGCAGGGTACCAATCACTGCGCCACCACTCCCAACACGCATGGACACACACACTTTTCCTCGGGCATAGCTGATCTGCGCCCACCGGCTGTTTTGCCGAACCGGCTAGGCAGGCAAGGGGGTATTTATTTTATGAGCGAGGTAGGGAATGGGTCAGGGATTTTCCACGTGCTTGGCCAGGCTGCCAGGTAGATTATTAGGACCCGAGAGGTTGATACGCAGGTAGACAAGTCAGGAGGGAGTAGGGAGGAAGTAGGGAGCCAGATATGTACGCTCATAGAAATTTGGATATGCAGGCAGGTGGACGAGTCTGCAGGCATGCATATTGGTCGGTGTATAGGTGGAGAGGCAGGTAAAGCAGAAGGTATGCAGGTAGGTATGTGTCCATTGTAGGTAAGTACTTAGGCAGACAGGTAGGTAAGTCTTTAGGCATGCAAGTGCGTATGTATACATGTAGGTTGGTAGGCAGGTAGGCAAGTCATTAGGTTTGCAAGTGGGTATGTGGGTGAGCGGGGAGGGGGCCTACGTCGATGAGCTTGGGCAGGCTTTCGAAGTCAACGCCGGGATCCACGGAGAACTGCCCGTGATGGCAGGCCACGTGGTAGTGCTCGACGCGGCTGCCGCAGCTCACGCACAGCGTGTAGTCGCCCGGGTAGTTGGTGGACTCCCGCACCAGGAAGAGGCCGTCCGAGCGTGGCATCAGCAGCTGCTCCGCCTCCTCCCGCGAGATCTTCCCGTGGAACCAACTGGAGATGGCGGCAGAAAGGGAGTGGGGGGGGGGGCACACCGAGGGGAGGGGGGCACAGAGGGCACGGGACAGACCCAGATGTGTTTTTTTCATTATCGTCGTCGTCGTCGTCGTTCATGTCGGAGCTGTGTACAGCTCAGTGGGCCTTGCCCGAAGAAATAAAAAAGTAGTTGAGTTTGGTCAGAGCGCTTTTAGAAACCTGAACCCAGGTCACGAAAAATACGTCTAAATTATTATAGAATGTCACCTGGAATGTGCCTCGAGATGGAACGTCTCATTTGGAAGGGAGTCCGGGGTGCTGACTGACGCGCGCATTGTTAACGTGCAGGAACGCGTGTGCACGCACAGGCATGTGTGCACGTGCATGAATGCGTGCACACGTATCCCACATCGGGGGTGTATTCGGTGCCAATTTAGGGTGGTGGTCTTACTCTGGGCTCACTGACCACGGTGAGTGGCACAGGCCATCACCAAGATTCCCCGGCGTGCCAACAATGTAGGACAAACACGCACGGTACAGGGAGCAGTAAAGCAGGGTGCAGGAAGGAGTGGTGGGGGGTGCAGGGAGGTCTTTGAGGGGGGGGGGGGGCTACGTGGAGGTGCGAGGGGGGTGCAGTGTGCACGCACAGCATGGAGTCCATCTTCTCCCTGGGTGGGGGGCCGACCCCCTTCGGCTGCTGCGATGCGAGGAGGAGGAGGAGGTGGGGAGGCCTTCACGCCCAGCAGCGACCTCGGCAGCGCAGGGGTGGGGGGTCTCAGAGAGGAGGAGCGGGGGGGTGCAGCCGGAATTGGAGGGTGCACGGAAGAGGGGGTGATGCAGGAAGGAGTGCGGGAGGGGGGCGGGGTGCACGCACGGCATGGAGTTCATCTTATCGCCGGTCGGGGGGGCGCCCCCCCTCGTTTGCTGCTGCATGTAGGTGATGGGGATGAGGCCTTCACGCCCGGTCGCGTCCTTCGCAAGAAACCACTGCTTACTCTGTGGGGGGGCGGGGGGAGGCACCGGGGGGGTGGGGGGGACCCGGGAGGAGGGAGACAGTCAGAGGTGTCGTCATCATCGTCCTCGTCATCTATAAGTCAGCTAATATTCATACTCGAATATTCATCCTAAATCTAAAAAAACTGAAAATTCATGAAGAATGCGTCGTCATCACCGATTAAACAACATCATCGCCATATATATCACCGTTCATTACGACTGTCATCATCAACACCTTCACACCATCGTCTTCGCTATTTTCATTTACACCCGCGTTTACTACCATCGCGATAATCCTCATCATTGGCACCAACGCCCTCAATGTTGTAATTGCCGCCAATATCATTACAATAATACAATTACTGTGACCATCATCATCATCACCTTTCCACACGTACAGCTCGAAGTCGAACGCAACCAAAACCGACAACACGCGACAGGGCACAGCATTCAGAGGATCCGCTAGAGGCCCCACCAAATTCATGTGCAGCACCCGAAGAAAGCGCTGACGCGCGAGGGGACAGCACCGCAATTCGCGTCTCCGCGGCGGGCACGCCTACGTTGGAGGGCCTCACGTTGGAGGGCCGCACGATGGTGAGGCGGTCGCCCTTCGCGAAGGGCAGGTCCTTCTTCTTCTCCCCGTTGAAGCTGAAGCGCGCCACGCACACCGACCCGGGCTCCCAGCCGTGACCGTTGGCCTTCGCGGACGCCTGGGTGGCCGCGGGGACAGCCTGCGGGACACGGACGCGCGCCGCCACCACGTGTTTGTTAGAACAACGTGTTCAGCAGAGGCGTGATGGTGAAGAGTAAAGGCGTGATGGTGAAGAGAAAAGGCGCGTGGCGCTGAGATTTGCTCGCTCACGCCACTGCGGGCAGAAGGGCCTTCACTGGAGGACGTTCCAGACAGCCCCTTTAAGGCGTGGTGTTTTCTTAGTCTTACTCTTCCACGCGGGCCAGACGTCTCGACGAGGTGGGACGTACCCCAACGCTTTCTCTCACCTATCTATCCTACTGGGTGCATTGAAAGCTGCGGTAGGGCAGGGGCGGTGGTGGGGGGGGAGGGTTATTCAAGAAACTAGCATCGTCGTTTCAACTCTAGTGCCAGGAGATGGCATCGAATTGGAAACATCAGCATTGCAGTTCGCGCAGCGTGATAACTGTTACACAGCAGCAACATCCTCTATAATTTAGCTGTGGCCAAGAAAGCCTCACTTGAGTGTCGAGACTCAATTTAATCGAGTCTCACGATTATGATCTGGCATTTAAACGCATGTCCCACCACCACCATCGTCATCAGCTTTGTGAACCAAGTCATCCTTGCGATTGAGATGCATCCTGATCTCTGGGGTTCTCACCTTGGCTAAACAAAATTAACTTCAAGAAATGTGATGATCATCGAGTATCGATATCTCGCCTCCCATGCGGAATATCGCGAGGCTCCACACTATGTTGTCCTACGAGGAAGGATGGTCCTTGCCGAAGGAATGTGGAATTTCCACCACTGGAAATTCCACAATCGAATTCCAGCCAATGGGAGATGAGCACCACCACCACGCTCTTTTTAAGCTTCCCGAAAAACGTGGAAACGCACTTCAACTTTAGTGGACACACACACACTCACTGGCACGGGTATACCGACTCGCAAATGTCAACTTTCTAACATATTACAGCCAAAACGCAAAGTGTCACCTGGCAGTGATCTTCACCATCGGCGGCCCAGTGTTTGGAAATTCCACATTCCTATGCTGGGGAGTGGTTCATCCCTAGGACGACTGTTGGCGCTCCGACGCGGTGGCGCCGCTAATTTTCTACACTGGAGTGACGATGGTGATGGTGAAGGTGGTGGTGAAGGTGGTGGTGAAGATGGCGATGACGGTGGTGATGATGATCGGTTTGACGGCTTGGCTAATGTAAAAACACGTCAAGCCCCTGTGTGCAGACCAACCTGCCGTGAGCATACATTCGCAGAATTCCGGTCCGCGTCTCCACATACGAACACGTATTTACTTTAGTCGGGACCCGTATCATCCGCTCGCATTGGTTTAAGCGAGTGAACTCTGGACCGGTCAAAAACCTGTCCAAAAACCTGCCCAAAAACCTGCCCAAAAACCAGTCCAGAGTGTGCTTGCCACAAAGTAAACAGCCGTCTCCAAGGCCAATAGACCAACAGACTTGTACATATTCGTATTGTACACGTTCGTATGTCTACGTGGATGCAGCACGTATCCAAATTTGCCAAACTACAAAATGACTGAATTGGCTCTGTGCAGTCATCCATCCCCTACGTGCAGCAGACGAATCATGCCCCAGGCCAGTCTCGCACACAAGGCTCGCCCTGGTCTCTAGAGGACTCTCACCTTGGTTAAACAAAACACATCTTGCTCCACGGCCATCTCCTCTCGCGCAAGCAACATCGTGACGGGTTGGAAGTTTCACAGATCACTTGTGGAGTTAAGAGGTCATAAATGACCCAGCTCAGCACCCACGTTAATGATAACAAGGTCACGTGTATCATTAACAGGGGCTTTACCAGGTGGGCGGTGGGGGCGTACCGCACTATGTACCCAGGAGACCCGAGTTCTAGTGCCTGGCGAGTGGAATCTGAAGCGGTTTTCACCACCACGACTTCCCTCCAAGCACCCCTTTCACTAAGCACCCCTTTCACTAAACACGCACGCGCCCAGCGTGGTGAAGTACGGTCACACCATCCGTATGACCGACGAGGCGTGAGGGAGGCCTTCAAGCAGCAGTAGACTTTACAAAGGGATGTCATTATTATAATTTTAAAACGCGTACAGAGGTCCAGTAAGTCGACCCTGCACCGCACGTGAACAACCACGTGCTACGACAGGGCATCAACCTTCGGCGGGGCTGATGAAACGATCACCACAGGGTGACTCCGCACCGAGACATTGGACTCTGCACCACATTCACCGGATCATGGCTTAGCAACGTTTCAGAGTCGCAGTCATCGTGCACTGTATCGAGAGCCCGTGCGGCGGGGTTGCATTCTTGGTTAAACCGGCGGGGTAATTTTAGCAACATTTCCGGCCAACTTCAGCTCCTAAAAACAAAAAAAACTTCAACAAAATGTGGAACTGAACTTCGCTCTTGAACACCTCTCGCCCCCTGCCCAGTGATGCCACCTTGGCTGGCTACACCACAAAGACAAAGGTGCCCCGTATAGCCTTTAAGGAGGTGATGGTGGTGGTGACCAGCACTGTGCCCGGCCGCCTTTGTCTCCCGAGTGGCGATGTTTTAACACGTCGCACCGAGTACTCATTTATAACGTCTGAGTCGACCTAGTCCGAGGGCTCGGGTCTGGCTCAGGTAATCGTCACTGGTGGTGGTTGCCCGTGAGCGGTAATCGAACTCGGGTGGCGCGATCCGCAGCGCAGTGCGCTAACCGCTGCACCACCGCTCCCCATGGCAGGTACCTTCACCCCTGGCTTCTGGTCGTGGTCACCCCCCAGTGTTGTTCAGCGCAAGACGGATTATTACCACAAACAAAAGTCCCATTTCGCCGTCTGATTTGTCGGGGGCAAGTGCTGTTAGCGAGCACCTATTAAGTCCGGAAATCACGAAACACACGATGTGCGCCCGGCCGACTTTGTCTTTCTCCAACGACTGCACTGTACTTCCTTTTTTGGCCGAGTTGACCTCGAGGAGGCTCGATCCCGCTCTGGCTACCGCATACCGGAGGCACTGTACAAGCAGGAATTCGGGAAGCCGGCGCTTGCAGACCGCACAGGTAAAAGCGCACCCGATAGCCTTGACAGACTCGTGGGGGCAAGTGCTGTTCGCGAGTAGCAGCTGTAAAGGTCAACACGGCACGCGAGGGGGTGGTGTGGCCAGTACCATGCCCGGCCGCCTTTGTCTCCACACACACACGCGCGTCAATCATCGGCTTGCTATGCCAGGTGAACAATACGACAGCCAATCATCAAATATGAAACGGCCGATACGTAAATGAGAGAACAGTGCTCACGAGCCCGTGTTAGACACACACCAACTCCCGACTCCCAGGCTGCTAGCCAGGTGAGCGGGCGAGAGTGAGCGCAGGTGAGTTGGGGGAGCAGGTGCGGAAGTGAGGTGGTAAGCGAGGTGAGAGAAGAGTGAGCTGGAGAGAGTCAACAGGTGAGAGGTTCGTATTCGAGTGCCTAAGTGGACGAGTGGGTGAGCAGGTTGCAGTGAACAGGTGAGAAGGTAGACAGGTGAGAAGGTAGCTCGCTAGGTAGGTGAGATGGATGAGGTAGGTGAGAAGGCAGATAGAATAAAAGGTGAGAGGGTGAGCAGGTGAGTAGAGGAGGCCGATCTTACCGCGTTCACGCGATTTACCTGCGCAGCGCGACACAAGCAGAACAGGTGAGTCGAGTAGAGATCCAGGAAGTAGAGTTACCTCACCCTCCCCCTACTCCCTCCTCACCCCATCACTCCCTCCTCCTCACCCCTCCGCCTCCCGCACCCACACCCACGCGTTCCCTGTCTCTTACGACACCGGGTGATGAAGCCGTCTTTATTTAGGCCGGCAGCCGTGGAAGGTGCAGGCGACTGCAGCTGTGTGCGGGCCTATCGCCGTGGATTCTGCTGTAGTGCTACTCATCAGGATAATCGTCGTCTTCGTCGTCGTCAGCCATGCTCTAGCCACTGCTGGGTGACGGGAGGTCTCCCCGTGACGTCACAATCTCTGCCTACTGGACACGGGCCGAGTTGTATCCCAGAATCTGTATTTATCCTGGAAGGAATCCAATGAGCTATGAAGCTCTGTGTTCACAGATGTCCAGTAAGTCGCAGATGTCCAGGAGGGAATCTCCCTCCATCCCCCCCGGTGGACGGCATCTGGACCGCGTTCCCTCCCACATTTGGCGGCCATCGCCCCTTGTCGCCATGACGCGTTCTACCCGAGTCAACTTCTCCGGACAGCCTCAATCTGTGCTCCATGTGTTCCTCAATCTGTCCTTCCTCATGATCATAATCGCCATCATCAGATGTTCGTTACTGGTTTACTAAACACATACTTTTTTTGCTCATATCAGAAGTGGTGGATTGATGAAAGGGTGGTAAATAATTTGCATTTTTTTTCCTTCACAAACGTTTGGCACCAAAAATAACGTCCGAGTATTTGACGGAATGCTGAACTTGCAATCCAGAGGTCGCCGATCCGGTTCTTTCTCCCGGGGCGCCACTTAACTCCCCTCATCCTGCCACACCCCCACCTCTGTCCACCCGGCAGTGTCAATGTTCACTGCAGTATGTCGAAGGGCAGGTCACGTGTGGTGGGCTAAAGTGTGGGTACTCGCACACCTTACGAGACGTCTGGCCACGGCGTGTTAAGCCAAGCGTCGGCAAAAATATATTTCAGCAGAATTTCTTTATAACTCCCTTGAGTGCAGTAGTAGGGCCTTCTGCCAGCAGTAGCGTGAGCCAGCAGTTGCAGGGCTGCGCATTTGCCTGTTGTACGTGATTCATATTCCCCCGCGATGGGCAGCGAGCAGTTGCGTAAGACAATTGCACGATTTCCTCGTGGTCTTTCATCTCCATCGCCTACACCCACTGCAGGTGGACGATGAAGTTGCTTTATGCAAACCGGCCGTGAGACCTTTGTCCCTTAATGATCTTTTCGCTTGGAGGGTTAAATAAAGGCGTGGGTGTCACCGCGTGCTCGCCACAATCTGTGTCCACGCCTCACACCTGAACGAGCTGCCCACATCCTCAACGTAACCATCCTCCACTCCTCCCCCTGTCTCGGACTCCACTGTTGGATGAATACCTTCCGGATCCGCCACCGCCGCCACCCCTCGCGAGCCTGTGATGTAATATTAATCCACCTGGCACCGACACGCACCAGCTGATCTCATCGCTCCGTCTCCTCGCTGGAGGTGCTCTCGGATGCGTTCCATACCCCACCGCCCCGCGCCCACCGTCAAAACCGAACCCCAGCCTCTAAACCAAACAAAACTACGTTTCATGTGACCAGGTAAGGCCCACTGAGATATACAGCTTCCTCTCTACACCCCCCACTGCCCCCCCCCCCACAACGCCCCCACCCCCTTTCACCCCCGTCGTGCAGAAACGCGCCCCTCTGCACCTTTAGCCGCGATCACGTGGTCTCAACTTCGTGCACCTGGGCGCTATCGGCCGATGTGGCCCAGGGTTCCCCAAGTCCAGTCCTCGCGACCACCCATCGGCACGCTCCCTCTGTCCGCGTCTAACAATTCACTCCTCCTCCTCCCCCCGTTCAAATTCAAATCGAGAGCCGTTCCTCGCTGCACGCGCCGATGATTGTTAAACACGTCCCGAGGTAACTAACGCAGCAGCACCTGGCACACGCGTAGACACCCACACTGAGATGTCGGTCTCAATTTGAAATCTGGCCATCTCTGTGGAGAGAATCGATTCAAATGAATACCAATGACCCCTCCCCCCACTTCCCATCATTGGCGTGCCCCCCGCCCCCTCACATAGCAATGCCCCCACCCCCATCATTGACGTGCCCCCCGCCCCCTCACATAGCAATGCCCCCTTCCATCAGTGACGTTCACCTGCCCAGTGCCAGATGAAGCTAGTGCGGGGCCCGTAACATGGTGTTATAAAGGGGCCCTAAATAAAAAAATTCAAGTAAATTTTAAAACGCAATTTTTTTCATTTGCTATACAGCCAGATAACACGACAAATCGCTAACCTTAAACACCCCATCGTTCATAAAAGTTGAAGGCGGTATAGTACTAGAGTAATAGAGCAAGTGCAGAATCACTGAACCGGAATTGATAGCTTGAAAGCATTTAGCGCGGGGCCCTTGAAAGTGCGGGGCCCGTAGCATTTGTAGCAACTCATGCTACGAGGATCATCCGGCACTGCACCTGCCCCCCACAATCAGAGGCAGCCCCTCGAGGTGGCTGCAGGACGCCATCGCGGACAGGGTGACGTCGCTGGCTCTCTCGTGCCGTCACCTCGTGGAATAGAACAATTGTAATTGTCCACGACCCGAAGCGTCGCCATCGCCTCCGTTCTTCCTACTGCGAGGTCCGCGCTCTTGTTGCTGCGCGGTCGCAAAGCAAATCCGCGGGCCAGAGTCCGGACAATTATTCGCGTGGATCGCCGTCGTCGGAAGTTCTACAGCTTACAATAGAGCGGGCACGGTCTGGTCTCACCGACTGACACCGCTCACGGGGTGGTTTACATCATGGGACCTCCCTTGCCAGTATCAAAATATAAGAATAGATTTGACCCTTTCTGGCAATAAAACACCACAACAGAAACCTCTTGCAAGGAATCGTGTCTGCATTAACCACATAGACTCGTGGTGACCATGCAAGCAAAAGACATGCTCTGGTAGTATATGTTGATGCATTGTCTTTGAAACTGATTGGCCCACAACAGAGACAGCTTTCTTTAGAGCTTAGTCTCAAACAGAGTTAGGACAGAGGACGCCAAAAGGTTTACCCTGAGGGTGTGGGGAGTGGCACTCTCCCCCACCGCCACCCACTAACCAGCCACCTTCCTCACAAATACCAAAGACTAAGCACGTGCGTCAATAGCTCTGCCCTGAAATATTTGACAAAATAAATATACTCAATAGGCGACGTTTCGGGCAATGGGCCTCTTTCACAATAGGTGGTGAACCCTGTTTACTCCGGAAGCCGTGACTATTCCCATCCTCATCACAGACCTCCTCCCCGCCCCGCTTCTCCCGCTGCGAGTCCCCGTGTCCTCCTCCTCGTCCTCCTGCTCCTCCTCCTCCTCACCTCGTCCTTCCTGATTGAGCTGACGGCTCCGGGTTTAGCCATGGCGGCGGCGGCGGCGAACCGGCTCGGGTCAGATGAGGTCAAGGCAGGTCACGTGAGTTGGGTGCTCGGGTTCACCCTTCCGGCCTGTATCTGCAAAACAAATGAGCACAGAGGCCAGGGGATCGCTAAGTCACTCGAGATGGATGCGTGAAATGCATAATCGTCGTCGTCATCAGAGGCCGTCATATCTCCACCGCTGGATGAAGGGCTTCCCCAGCCGGCGCCATCTCTCACGGCGTTGCCATGCCACAAGCCACACATCCGCAGTGGGTGTCCCTCGTGGGTCGTCTTCCCCCCCCTCTCCTTGGGCTGCCGCTCCGCCTTTAGTCTCGACCACTGGCCATCATCATCATCATCATCCACTCATTCATTCATTGGAACGGCGTGTGCTGCACAAGGCCGTTCATATTACAGTGCGCAACTTTGAATCCGCCAATGTGATTCAATGTTTAATTCACTTATCCTCAACGGCCGATGTGCGGTCACCAGTGTTCACGTACCGATGTTTACGTATTGCCCTAATCTTGTATAAGATTTTATGACCGTATTGATTTAACGTCGCAGCTCACTTTGCTTGTCCTCCGGGTCTCCCTCTTTCTGGCAAGGGACGTCTGTCTCAATGTGGTCTCGTCGCGTTACAAAAGTTGTCACCCTGCTGATGATCATCAATTCACAGATACCTGCGGGCCACTCACAAGCCACCGAGGACTCTGCTACCAAGCCACTCTGAATGGCGTTGTGTCCTCGGTGAAAGCCAAAGGGAATTCTTGCTCAAATGAGCAATGGGGATGGTGTTCAATTCTCGTTTAAAATCCTGAGACAGTGTTGGAAATTCCACGTTCCTACGGCGGAGTGGCGCGTCTGTGCATATGACTACAAGTGTCGACTTCCTCACGAAGTGTGCGATATCAAGGACAGCACGACGAGTGTTCACGTGTTTCAGAGGGTGCGTGTGCGAGCGTGTTTGTGTGCGAGCGTGTTTGTGTGCGAGCGTGTTTGTGTGCGAGACACTGCGGAAGAGAATGGGTGGGTTCGTGTGGGCGTGAGCGCGCGTGAAGGCGTCGTGAGTGTATGTTGGTGGGTTAAGGTGGCGAAGTGGTTAGCGCATTACGCTACGAACCCGGCGATCCAAATTCTGAGCTACGGGAAAAAATCATTGACGAGCGAAATATGAAGCGGTCCTGGGCCTTGCCTTAAAAAAACAAAAGATATAACGCTTTTCAAATACGTCGGCCCATTTAACTTCCAGGCCAATGTTTGCCAGAGTGGAATCTGGATCGGCAGGCAAAATGTGATCCGGATTCACGTTTCCGAGTGTCGTCAACATATAATCTGGTCCGTGCGGGTTGGCAAAGTCCGTGCAACTGATGGGATGTGCAAACATCATACTTTGATGGTTGTACTGATGCATTACGTGGAGGGACAGATACATGCGAAGGAGGAGGCGAATTTAATGTTCGCTTATTGTATTATTTAAGAGAGTCCAGCGATCAGTTGCAAGACATCACTCGCCACTGACGTTTCAGACAAAGCAACGCGCTAATCGCTGCGCCACCGCTCCTCACTTCTTACAGACGTAAGTCATAGCTAACATCGCTTCCTCACCGTGCAGGGCAGGGTTAGGAATTTAAAACCAGTAGTGCTGCATGCACAAAATAAACAAAAGCCAGGAGGAGAATGATTCCAGGTGCGTTACAAATCACGGCATTCCACAAGGTAAACACACGAGTGTGAGGATGCAATGAGCAGGCGCGTCAAGATTACCGTGGCACGCGCACAAGGGCATTGTGTCACCAGGATCCAGGACCGATGTTTGCCAGGAACACACTTAAGGCCGAGTCAACCCAGGGGAGGGGCCCAGCATATGAAGCTCTGATTAAGTTTGCCACTGATGGGGTAGCTTTTGCTGGGATCCAAACCCAGGTTGCTGCTGGTTCCGGTAAACGACACTCAAATATCACTCGTTTCGCTTTACAGGGGAAATTGTTAGACACTGCACACACACACACGAGCACACACCCATAATCACGGTCGCACACAGTCACACTATCACACACACACACTCGTAGTTACAATCATGCAGTGGTAATCAGTTAGGCGTAGAGACCATCACGCAGTCGTATTCAAGAGCACACATGCACACACTGCAGTGTACGGTACTCACGCAGTCACAGACAAGACAAAGATGCACCCGTGGAGCCTTAACAGACTGTAGGGGCAAGTGCTGTTAGCGAGCACCTATGAAGGCCGGCACGGCACACGAGGGGGTGGGTGGCCAACACCACGTCCGACCGCCTTTGTCTCCCTAGCGGCGATGTTTACACACCGCACCAGGTACTCATTTGAGGCCGAGTCGACCTAGGGGAGGCCCAGGACCGGTTCAGATAATCGTCACCGGTGTTGGCCGTGAGCGGGAATCGAACCCGGATCGCGGGGTTCATAGCGCAGCGCGCTAACCGCTCCACCACCGCTCCACCACCGCTCCCCCCACATACAGACACACATACAGACACGGTCACGTGCTCACAGTCTCACACACACAAGGACAGCCACTGCAACCACAACGCCCATCTCGCCTCACCTCTCGGAGGGACGCTTCGAGCCACTCCCCGTTGCTTAAATCATCACACGTCCCGACATCCCTCTGCGCCTCTCATTCTCTCCCCCGCCTGCTCCGTCTCTCCGGCCGCCTTTGTCTTTCCGCACTCTCCCTCATCGGATCTCTCGCGTCGAGGCTGGATATTGGAGTCGCTTTAAATCCAATTGTCGCCTCCCCCCCCGCACCCCAAGTTATTTCGAGCCGGCGAGGGAAGGTATACAGGGGTTGGTGGATTGCGTTCAGAACGGAAGGAACTCGGTTTACGTGAACATTTGAGGTGGGAGGGGGGGATTGGTGGGAGGGGTGTGGAACCATAGGCCTGCAAACACGAGGTCCTCACATGAGCAACTCACTTGCCTTTCGCCGTGCACTCTGTCTTACACGTGTACACCTCCACTGTGAAGAGCACCCACAGAGTGCCTGCGTGTGTGTGTGTGTGCACACTGCATTAACACGGATCAATGTCACAATTTCCGTGTCGCTACTAAATTCGTGGCGGTGCAGGGTGACTAATAACCAGGGCCCAGAGAGAGAGACGTCGACTGGATGTGGTGTGGCCGCTGCAGACATTTATACAAACATCAGTGACGAGTAATATCTGAATCTGGTGTGGGCCTCCCCTAGGCCGACTCAGCCCTGAAACCGGTAACGGAGGGCTTGGTGAAACAAAGGCGGCGTGGTTCTGCCCCCCACACCCCCTCGTGCGCCGTGCCGGCCTTCATCGGTGCTACTTGCTAACAGCACTTGCCCCAACAGTCTGTTGAGGCTATACGGGGGATATTTGCCTTTGAAGTTGCAGGGAACAGCTGCTACTGTTGCTCGAGAAGGTCCAGTGCAAGGAGCGAATGCCGGATCGCAGCGGGAGGCCGTGGCGCGTTGTGGCATCAACCCAACTGCACAGCGCGCCCCTGTCGTCACGCTTGCGTTCCTGATTAAAGTTCGCGAGCGGGCGATGTGAGATTGATAAGGAACAGGTAAAGCAGCATTGCCTCAGCGATAAGGGGTTGCCGGGTGTCCAGGAAAGCCCCGGCAGGCCACAGAAGATGCGGGCTGCGATACGTGGCACGCATTCAGCTCGAGGTTCATACGGACAATGTTTTTACATTTCACGTTTGATTGTGAACCACGAATGATTACAACGGACATGAGACGGAGGTGTCGTCGTGATTGTATATCAAGTAGGCCTTTCTCGGCCAATTTGAAGTAGTTTGGTTTGGCGGGACCTCCACGATCTAAGCCAAAAGAAACGACGACTCGGAGATGTGGGGAGGATGAGCAAAGAGAGGTGAAGGGGAGGGGGGTGTCGTGAGACGAGGGAGAAGATGTAGCCAAGCGAACAGAGGCGTAGCGAGATTCACACGAGAGATGTAGACCGGAGAGAGAGATTCACTCGTGTTCCATGTTAATTTTATTTCAATTTTAGCTGATATTTGGTGCATAAATAGCATGTTTTTTTGTCCATTTTATTCGAGGCAACTTGAGCCACTCCGGGGGCCCTTGTCGTTTTGCGCCGTTTGCCGATGCCATGGGCCACAATTGGTCCGGTTGAGAATGTCAACTACAGAGGAGTGCAGCGAGTTTATGTTAAGTGCAAGGCGTTTTTTTTTTGCTGACAAATTATTTCCCACCGCCACCCAATTGAAACGGGATCGGGACTCGAACCGCAAAAACCATCGAGGAAAATAAATTCTACGGACTCGGCAAATTTTAATTCCCCCTCCCACCCCCATCCCCTCCCCCCCACCTCTCTGTGGTGAAACAACAAGATGCAATGTCCATGCCACTTTACAGGCGCAGCCGACAGAGAGATAACGTGACGCTCGTGTCGATTTCATCCAAATCTATGACTTTTATTTATTTCAACGACAACGTTCGAGTGGCGACATGGGGAGAGAGTGTGAATACGGCGTCTCAAATGCACGCGGCCGACCGAGATACAGGGGGGTGTGAGTTGTTACCACTTATTAGTAAGTATGTATTAGTAAGTATGTATTAGTAATTATGTATTAGTAAGTGGTGTCACTGCCACGAGGAGATAGACGGTGTCGCTTTGCGGCGGTAAACAACAGACAGCTGTCACTGTCCACGCGCTCCTTGCAACTCTCCTGTTCCGCGATTGTTTTACGGAGCAAAATGCCACGCCAATGTGTATGTCGAGTTTGTGTAATCTTGATTTGAAGCTTTCGTGACTGCAGGCATCCATACTCTCGGGTTCTTTCGGTAGTCACGTGGGTAGAAAAAATAATAAAAGGAAACACGACGTTTCGGTCGCAACACAAGCGTCCGTCTTCAGGTGAGAAAAATGATCTGCTGTTGTGGCTTTATAGTGGCACGGGAGCGGGGGGGGGGGGGAGTTTGGCTGTATGAGTTCACAGGGGAGAGGAGGGAGTTTGTGAAGTGGAGGGACGGGTGGAGCTGGAGGAATTAGAAAGTAAATGGATTTTAATTAGTAATCGGACAACAATACACACGGGTGGGCGAGTGAAAATCACAGCAGTTCAAACACAATCCTTCTAATGATTTCTCAATCTGAATCCATCTTCTCGATTAAAGTTGTGTCTGTGTTTGTATATCTGGATGGCTTCGTGAACAAATCTCTGATGGTGGCCCGAGGGTTTGCAGAGCACCTTGGTCTCGGAGAAAACAATGTCACGTGTGCCCACAGCGTTGAAACAATGATCCGCCACCGCCGATGAGTTGGTTCTGCCGTGTTTCAAATCCGCTTTGTGTTCGCGAACCCGGTCTGAGACGCGTCGCTTCGTGTCACCAATGTAACTGCTGCTGCAGACACAACTCGGATTATAGACACCAGGACATTGCATGTCCAGAATCGCATCCTTCACCGATGGGGTCAAATCACGGATTCTGTGTACTGTTTTGAACCGAACTTAGAACTTGTGTTTGTTCAAGATTTTGGCAATCCTTTTGGTGACCCCTGCTATGTATGGTAAGGGGATGGTTTTGATTGAGTCCTCAGATGGTTGTCGATGCAGCTTTGCGGATTGTGCGGTCAGAATATCCATTCCTCCTGAGAACTTGGCATACGTGTTCAAGCTCACTGGTTCGGTGGTGCTGGTCGGAAATGCAACGAGTTTGTTTGTATACGTATATGTTCGAGGATTCAAGGATTATTTTCGTGAACGAGTTACACGGATAAGATAACAGTTGTAAAATGTCGGCGTAATTGTGTATTAACCCTCGTTACTCTTCTGTATTCGTCAATACTCTACCTCTTCAGTGTCACTGTATGCATCATCATCATCATCGCCATTAGTATTAAAGGTCTCAAGTACTTCTTCTTCCGCCCTTTCAAGTCACCGCAATAATTATGTTACACGGAAAACTGAGCACGCTGCTGATGCTGCTGCAGTGTGTGACCGATGGTGATTATTAAATGCACTCGCTGACGATTAAACGCGCCTGACAAATGTTAATTATTATTGCATTATGACGGTGAGGATTACGATGATGGTGATGATTACTGTGATGGTGACAACGATAATTATGGCAATGTGGATGATGGTGATGCTGGTGATGATGATGGCGATGACGTCTCAGTGAACGGCTCTCCTCGCAGACGATGTCGGCGCGTTCCGTGAGGCAGACTGTGACTTGTCGCTCGTGATAACGACGACAACAACAAAATCACAAGTCTTCCACGCGGCCCGGCCCAGCGCAGCTCCGTCTCTGGGGGAGGGGTGGGACAGCAAGTTACGGTGACCTTGGGGGCGCGGGGGGGGGGGGGTGACCTGGGTGGCGGGGTGACCTGGGGGGGGGGGGTGACATGGGGAATTTGGGGGGTTGGAACCGCAAGGTGACGGGGGGTGAGAGGGGGGGGTGAGAGGGGGGGGGGTGAGAGGGGGGTGAGAGGGGGGGGTGAGCGGGGGGGGGGTGAGAGGGGGGGGGGCGAGTTTCTGTGTCGAGGGCCACAGGAGAACTTTCGGCAACAGCACCAAGTCGCCACGAAGTGGCTGTGACGTCACCACGCGCGTGCCAGCCTAAGTGTACATTGAGGCCGTCACGTGAAGTGTCGTCGAAGGCTCGCTCCTGGCTTGAGACCAAGGGACAGACCCCCAGGATCCAGGTGTTATAGGTTGACCGACCCGACGGAGATGCCTGGCAGATGCACCACCTGTGCCCCATCCCCATCACTGCACCACCTGGCGGCCGAATTCATTGTATCCGCCCGGCGCTCCGCTCGCTGTTGCGAGCGCCGCTCCTCCGCCCTCCGTTGTTGCTGGCGGACGACTGCCTCCAATTAACGCAGCCTCCAACACACCACAACCACCACCACAACCACCACCACCCACGTACCTTATACACTACTACATCCCTTCGAGGTCGGCGGCAGAACGGGTAAACAACATCGTGGAACGCCAACACGAGTCGTCTCATCTACTTGCGCCTGCCACAGGAACGTGGAATACGGGGCTCGTACCATCAACAGACGACGCGTGAAGTTCTCGTCCTGGTAGTAGTACGTGGGCTGATGGGAGGCGTGCCACGGGATGGAGGGAGGGGGTTGGAGTGGGTGAACACCCTAGGTCATTTAGACCCAGAGTCCTTGAAGGGGGGATAGGAGGGAGAGGGGGTGGTGACAGCCCCCCCCCCCTTTCACCCCCCCCTTTCACCCCCCCCCCCAATTCCGCCTCCAACGTGGCCCCCAGACATCACCCAAGGCCAAACCTCGAGCCAAAGCCTAAAAATACACGGAGAGAGGGCAGCGATGACGCGTCAAGCGTCACGCCCTTGTGTTTATTTTGAGATGACAGCTCTGCTCATGTATGTATTCATGTATGTATTTAATCATGTATGTATTCATGTATTTATTCATGTATGTATGTTCTCATGTATGCGTACGTGTGTATTTTGTCATCACAGATGGTGAACGGTGGCACAGCGGTTAGCACGCCACGAGCAATAACAGGGGTGAATAATTTGAGCCGGTCCTGGGCCTCCCCTAGGTCGACTCGGTGTTAAATGTTGGTGTGTGGTGGCGTTGTGTAGATATCAGCAATGGGGAGACAAAGGCGGCCGGGCGTGTTGCTGCCCACACAACAGCCTTTATAGGTGCTATACTCGTTAGCAGCACTTGTCCCAACAGTCTGTTCACGGTATATTCATGGCACCTTTTCACCCCGAGCTCTAAATGCTCTGTCTTTGGACTGCTCGCCTTTTGGCGTTCTCCGACACTGGTGAGACTAGGCCATAAAGAAGGCCGTCTCGTGTAGGCCAATCAGTTTCAAAGACAATTCCAAATAGTATCAGAGCGTGGCATCGGAGACACTCGGGCGCAGGGCATCCGCGTGAACATTGGAGACACCAACCGGTGCTGCTGTTTACCTACAACACCGGGTGCTTCGTTAAGGCTAAGTTAACCTGGGGGAGCGGGCAGGACAAGTTCGAATATTACGCGCCACTGATGTTAGCCGTGGCCGGGTAATACAACTGTGGTTGCTGGGGTTGGTAGCACAGTGCACTGACCGCCACCACACCGCTCCTACAGACACACAGAGACGCGCACTCTCACACCCACGTGTGCCGAGATGTACACACAGCACCAGGTACTACTCATCTCAGGCCGAGTATAACCAAGGAAGATCCAGAACAGGTTCAGATACCGTTTGCCGTTAACCCATTTCTCACTTCCAATGTCTCCACTTCACCGCCCTCCTTCCACCGACCCGGGTGTTGGAGCGCATTTGGAAACCGTAGGCGAGTGGTCATCATAACGGTGCGCGGCACGAGGCAGGCGAGGCACGGGCGAACGCACCTGGAGGTGGGGGAGGCAGCGAAAGGGGGGGGATGCACACAGAACCTGAATTCCAGATGCACCTAGCCAGGCACAGACAAGGTCCTGGGGGGGATACCGGGCGAGCAGTGGACGTTCTTGTACCTAGCCGGGCACGCACACACACCCGGGCAGAAATATGCACACACAAGACAAAGATCTCCCGTGTAGCCGTATTGATTAGAGGGGCAAGTGCGGTGCACGATAGCCTATTAAGTTGGGACATCACGCGAGAGTGCGATATGACCAGCAACACGCCCCACCGCCTTTTATCTTCGCAGTGCCGTTCCAAATACTTTAATTTGTTTTTGCACGCGGGTCAGGCATTGAACCTAGGTGGCCGGGGTCTGAGCGAGCAATGCGAGTGGGAGGACCAGCTGAATCTCGTGGAATTGCACGTGGGAGACAGAGCCGTGACAATTTGCCGCTTCCTACAGCAGCACTCAGCTCGCCAATCAGTGCGGAGCAGAGACCGAATTCAATTTGTGGATTTATTCTCCTCTGCAGAGCTGCATTATCAAAGCGATAATAGGCAGACAACCACGGGAAAAAGCACCGCCACCGCAACCACTACCACCATTATCACCACCACCACCACCATCATCATCACCGCCGCCGCCACAACCACCACCGCCATTACCACCAATACCACCGCCACCATTACCACCAATACCACCACGGCCACCACCACCAGTAACCACCACTACTGCCACAACAATAATCACACGGCCGTTTCACAGTCATGTGGACGGGAGCTGTCCATGCACAAAGTGGTACTCAATTTATTGGCCTCCGGTAGAGGGAATGATTGAGGATGAATGTTGGGGTGATGACGGACATATGATGAAGACGATGATTGTACGACTGCTGCCGATAGATTGTAGTTGATATGCTCGTCATGGTTCTCGGAGTATTTACATTGTTCTCATAGAGATGGATCCGTTAAGAATGATTAGAGTATTTACATTGTTCTCATAGAGATGGATCCGTTAAGAATGATTAGAGTATTTATACTTGAACGCTGAAGCCGATGTTAATATACTTTTTCTGCTGTTATTCATATGCCAACGATGACATTTCTATCATCCTGGATATTTTAAGATGACGATGATAGATTACTAAGGATGGTGATGATGATGATGACGACGAGATTGTAAGAGCTGTGTTGAAGGACTTGTCATCCAGATACCGATTGCACCTTACTGTCGCACCAACTGCATTGACCGCGATTACCTCTTCACCTCGATGGGCTGAAAACTCTGGTATTTGTTTCAGGAAGGGCGGTAACCACAGCGCCCCCCCTCCCGGCTCACACCGGCCCCCACCCCTCAGTTCTGGTCAGTTCCCGGGGCTGCAGGCGACTGCTGTGGAAACGTGACCGCGCGCACCGTGAATACAGTCCCTTTGAAATGGAAACGTGCGCAAAAACATCGTCGTCATCACATATCGGAAGCCGCGCAGGAGTTTGAGTCTAGACAGCGCTTGGATTGGGCAACCGCCATGCGCCATGAGGTCGCTACCGGCTGCCGACACATTTGGCACACAAATAATATTGCGATCGATTGACCGGAGTGGTGAAGTATGGTTAATATAAACGCCGACATCCAGCAGAGAATTGACAAAACCCTGGGTGCGCATGTACACCGGCTACTGTACCGTAGCCCTCACACAGTTGTTAGTTTACAATGTTACGAACACTCACCCAGCATTTACCGACGAGTCTTAATGAAGGTGAAGCCGTGAAGCGTTTTCCATTCTTCTCCTTTGAATGGCTCGAGCTGCCAATGTTGCGAGGCGGTGTGTGTAGAACGCCTGCGGTGGGATCGTCATGTCAACTGGGATGATGTCATGTCGTCACCTGGGCATGCCAAGTAACGACCACTCCGCTGATGTTACCTGGGATGATGTCATGTCGTCACCTGGGATCGTCATGTCATGGTCACTCCACTGATGTCACCTGGGCATCGTGATGTCGTCACCTGGGCATTACAAGTCATGGTCACTCCACTGATGTCGCCTGGGCATTCCCAGAATGCTGAGGATTCCCGTTCCACATTGCCAATCAACAGGCATACACTTTAGCGCGGGTGTATTTTCATTCACCAGCATCTTGTCTAAGTTCCTCACTTTATCATCCCACCGTGGTCGATAACAAATTAGTATAACAACAACAACCGCCATTCGTCACTAAGTGGCGGTGACGTCACCACGATGCTTGTGCCAGGCCATGTGCACCTTGAGGTCAAGTGAAGTGTCGAACGCCCGCTGGCAGGAGGTCACGGGGCAGATCCAGGTGCCACGGGTCGACTGACTGAGATGACCGAGATGGCTGGCTGATGCACCACCTGTGCCCAAATTAGTACACACGCACACACACTGGCCGTGTATCAATGCACGGGCCGAGTTTATCGTTCCACCTCTTCGGTGGGTCGTTTATTTTATTTGTTTTTTTTCTAGAAAGATAAATGTGTAAACGTGTGAACAAGCAAACGATGCATGTACGTAGCACGTACACGTTGCGGGCTTCGATGGTTCCGTTCCTTGCTTTGTCTCCCTCGCGCCGCCAGGCCACGCGGTCAATTCCAACAGAACGCGACCCTGCAGGTGCGCGGGGCAGGTGGCATGGAGGGACGCAGGAGAGGAGGGGGGTGGAGCAGAGACACGGAGCCAAAGGGCTCAGAGTGGAAACCTCAACTCCGGTGGTGATGGGATTGCGAACTTGTGTGTGCGTGCTGTATGTTGAACTTATTTCGCACCGCACCTCGCCAACGGTGCTAAATCAGAGGCGCGGGGAAGGAAAACTAAACTTGATCTCCTACACGTCTCCCCCCCCGCGCGCGCTACCCCCTCTCTCGACATTGATTACACCCAGAAGACTGCCACTATCGTCTCATTCTTCATCCGGCTCTCACCATCGCCTAGTGGTGACCAGGTAGCGCACACGGATCATAGTTGGCGCGTTACAGTACTCAGAAATCGGCACGGCACCGCTGACAACCAGGGTTCGAGTCCTGGGTTACAGCCACCGCCCGTGGCGAGTCCGGGGTCCGTTCTAGGGGAGCAAGTCGAGCCGACGGCCTCGCGCAGATCACCAAATGACCTCTTGCACCCACTCGAAACCGTCGCCTCGATGGTTCTCCGTCGCCGCCTTCGAGTCGGCGTGGCCGCGACGGCCGCGCCGAGTGAGGGAGCGCTTGGCGACATGAAGGCGTCGGATAACGGGCAAAGTGACACCAGAAGCAATGAGATGATTGTAATAATCATGCTTGGCGAGTCGTAAGACTCCTATTCAGGAAGGTCCTGCTGTTGCTACATTGTTTTAAATATTCTACGATGGTTTTCAGTCCCGATTAATTGTGAGTGTTATTTACGTACGGGAGGAGGAAATGGGATCACCCGGAGGAAAGCCGAACGCCTTTGCACGACTGGGGGCGACACCGCTCTGTCCCCCGTACAGATGGCACCATATGGAGATGCGTGCCCTCCCCCCTCCGAGGGCGCGTCCTCGCACACCGCGGGGTGCGCTGCTCGCTGCTCGCTCCACCATTTCCGCTTGCGAACGCTTTCGTCTCGCCAGACCTGACGCCGATTCCGACAATTGGTCTATAAAGTGGGAAATATAATTAATAATTTACATACTAATCACATGTATAGTAAGGCCAATATAAAAAAAAAAATCATAATCAGCAATCCAGTCATATGGTCTGCTGAGCAACGGCTCCCACCTCTTCCTCTCTCTCCCCACTCCATCTACACCTGCCCGTCACGAGCCAGGATCAACCCACTTCTGGACGAAAGCCAGCCCCAAGTCGTCGCCGTCTGTCTCTGGCCTGCCGAGCAACAACAATCCCATCTAGCACCTGCACACGAGCCGATTTCGCGGCTCCATCTCCACAGCCGCTTCTCCCGTCTGCCCTGCTCGACGCTTCCTCAGCCGAGCAAATCGAGAACATTTTAATTTTTCGTCTGAAGCGACAGCGAACGCGCGCACAAAAGCCACCCTCCTCTGCCGCTCGCGCGCGACAGTGGCGGGCACGCGCTTTGTTAGCGAGCACCTATTAAAAGGGCGGAACGAGACAAGGTTGGGTGCAGGGGGAGCGGCGGTTGGGCGGTCAGCGCCAAGGCAGGCGCGGTCGCCTTTGTCTCCCCGGTTATTGTGTTGGCAAGGACAATGAATGAGCGGCAGGTGGTGGTGTTTGGGACACGAGTTGACCCATGGGAGATTCGGGTCGTGTGCTTGGAGTCGAGTAGCCACTCGGGAGTGCGCGTGTTTGTGCGTGCGCGCGCGTGTGTGTGTTCAAAGTGCACCTAGCATGGCACAAGCGCCGTGGTGACGTCACCGCCACTTGGTGGCGACGGGCGCTTCTTGTGGATGTCTTCTTGTGCGCGTGTGGGGTGGGGGAGCGGTGGCGCAGCGGTTGGCGCTACGCCGCGCTTCGAACCCGGCGACAACACGAGTTCGATTCCCACTCGCGGCCAACACCAGTGACGATTATTTGAACCGGTCCTGGGCATCTCCTAGGTCGACTCAGCCTGCAAAACGAGTACCTGATGCAGTGTGTAAGCATCAGCACTGGGAAGACAAAGGCGGCCGGGTGTGGTGTTGGCCACCCACCCCCTCGTGTGCCACAGTGCCGGCCTTCATTAGGTGCTCACTAACAGCACTTGCTCTAACAGCCTGTGTAGACTATACTGGGGAATCTTTGTCTGTGTGTAGTGCATTTACGCGTTATATTCGAATGTTTTATTTGCCCTTTTTCTTTTTTAATCCATCGCCCTCTGCTGCGCAAACGTGGCAGGAGCATCCTGAAGAGAGAGTCGTGAGACTCGGCGAGTCTCTCCTGGGCAAGACGAAGCGTAATCATCGGACTACCACTCGTAACAACAAACATCATCTATACCCTGAGCGTCCTGGCTGGCTGCTGGCTGGTCTCCTCACCACCGCTGCAACACCAGCTCTGGTGTTGCTGTTCGTGGCTGCGGGGCCCATGCCAACGAAACTAGCCAGGTAACTGGCTAGGCGGGATTTATGAAGGCACTGAATAATAGGTAGCAACACTGAAGGCGGTTAAGAGAAACGAATACAGCAAAACCGACAATTAATTTCACATTTCTCCAACTTTTAACATGTGCGCTCCTATTAAGGTAATTATTTCTCCAGAATTTTGTTAAAATGCTAAGCAATGCAAGACAAATCTCGCGATACATCGTTGCATATTATTATTATTACGTAACAAAATCAGATTCTCATTCGTGCTCCGAGTAACAGGAGGATTGTGAGAGAGCGTGGTGGTGACGTCATCTGTCTATTATTTACCGTTGCAGAACAACAACGGCGGCCTCTCTATTCGTAACAAAAAATAACAAATAAGCACACGCGTGTACATTCACACACACACACACACACCTGGACATGCACGCTCACGCACAGGTAAGTCACCGCGAGACGTAGCACAAGGAGGCACGCGCCTTGAGACGAACAGCCCCGTCACGCGAACAGCCCCGTCACGCGTTGTCAACAATCGTTGTAACCACATCGGACGCACGACCCTGACTATACAAAGGTAAAGTTCGCCCGTGTAGCCTCGTGCACTATTTGGGCCAAGTGCGTTGAGCGAGCGCCTATTGAGGCCGGAACGGAATAAAAAATCAGGGGTGGGTTGGCCAACACCACGCCGTCTTTGTCTCCCCAGCGCTGATGTTTACACACCGCACGGGCACTCATTTAGGGCCGAGTCGACCTAGGGGAAGCTCAGGGCAGGTTAATGTATTAGTCAGCGATGTTGACTGTGTGCGGGAATCGAACTCGGATCTCTGGGTTTATCGTGCAGTGCGCTAACCACCATCCCACCGCTCCCCCTCACCCCCACACTTATACAGACACGCATACGGTTATACACGCAACACACACGTGAACACGCTTTAGGCGCCATCAAGCTCACCTGCGGGGAAGCCTTGAAACGGGTGAACAGGCGAGTAGCTGGGCTGGTGAGCAGGTGGGAGGTAAGCTGCCGAGCAGCTGCGCTGGTAAGCAGGTGAACAGACGAGCAGTTGGATAGGCGAGCTGGTATGCAGGTGAAGTTGTGGTCATGCAATGAAGCTATTGAATAGGTTAGCTGGTGAGCAGGTGGGGAGGTGAGGTGGGTAAGCAGCTGCGCTGGTAAACAGGTGAGTAGGTGAACAGGTGACCAGGTGGGTAGGTGAGGTGGTACGCAGCTGCGCTGGTGAAGAGGTGAGTAGGTGAGCTGCCCCGCGCGCCACGTGGTAACTCCACGTGAAATCCACAAGGAGCGCGCTGGGGAAAACGCGGCCTTTATTGCCACGCGGGGTCTGAGGGAGGAGCCACGTCCTGATTGACAGGTGTGTGGGGGGGGGGGGGCTCGATGGGGGAGGTGGAGGAGGGGGGGATACGAGAGTGAAATCATCCGACCACCGAATCAACCCTGAATGCGGGACCGACCTCATCGGATCTCAGAGGCTAAGCACGGCCTGATTGCCGCTTGGAGTGGAGACTGATCTGGAGTGCCAGGTGTTACGGGCTCGAGATGGCAGCATGGCTACGGGGTTGTCGACTCAGTGTGTGCGGAGCTTTGAATGCTGTCCCCCTCGATGCGTGCGGTGTTCCCCGGGTCCCCTGGTTCACCTTCCCACACAGCACGCCGGACTCTCACTGATGAATAACACAAAACAACAAGAATGATTTTCACAACTTCATAATTATCCCTGAAACGTCGACACTTTAGGCCACAGTGTTATTGATGAATGTGTTGAGTGGTTTTTGTGTTTGTGGTGATTGTCGTGGTGGTTGTGATGGTGGTGATAATTGTGAAAAGTGATGTGCGTAGTCATTAACGCACTGCCCTATGTTTCCAGTTACCTTAGTTGAATTGCTAACCATGGCTATATAGTGCTGAACCAGTTCAGAGCCTCCCCTAGGTCTGCTCAGCCTATTAGCACGGTTGGCTACGTACGGTGTGAAAGAAGTTCAACATATAAAAATACAGAACCTGTACGACTATAACCTTACGCAGACAGCCATGTACCTTGTATATAGCTACTTGGCATGGAACAACGAATCGATGCATTGATTTAAGCACACGCTTGAGATCCAATCGATGTTGAACACGAGATATTTAATCGGCAAATCGACGCATCCTTCCACCGCTACCCCTCCAGTGCCATGGCGTTTGTAAAGTCCTCGAGCGGCACCGGGGCCACGTCGCTGGAGTGAACCTAACAGTGACTAATTCTAGATTTGAAGCTTTCGTGACTGCAAGGATTCATATTCTTAGGTTTTTTCGGTAAAGTTACGTAGGTAAAAAAATAAAATTAATACATTAAAATAAACATAAACGTCGTGATTTTTATTTTATTTTGATTTAACTTTTATTAATTTTATTTAAAAAATTTTACCTACGTGATTTTACCGAAAAAAACCTAAGAATACCTAACAGTGACACTGGCGACTTTGTTTGTAAGCGAGGAAGAACAATCGTGCCTACGCACGGATTATGCAACCATGTCCAACACACCGTTTGTTTTATGGGATACCATTTTAGCCAGCATCAAAGTATAAAAAAATAAGAATAGGTTTGATCCTTTTCTGGAAATACAACAGGAGGTGTTAAGATGTTCAAGCACCAAATAGACACCTTTTGCGAGGAGTCAAATTAACCACACACACAGTACTTGCGATGAACATGTAAACACACATGCTCTGACAATATATGCAAAATATATTTATTTGGCGTTCCAAAGTCTTAACACCTGTTCCATTCACCAAAAAAGGCAAAACCTTTTCTTATTTTTCAAACCGTTTGTTCTCAGAAGCAATCATTTAATCAACAGAACGGAAGCCGACGGGTATCGATAAGAGCATAACGCGTATTTATATTTTCAAAGTTTCGTGAATTAAAACGCTTCGATGAACGTGGCCGGATTTCTCAAGCAGCAAGTCCCTGATATCAGCCCAAAGTTATGCTCAAGTTTCCTTCCTATCGGAGATCATCTCGTGCGGACGGACGCAAAGAGATGCTCGTGATTAACCGCGCTTCAGCGGGTCGTCGGTTCGCAAAGCATAAAGCACAGCTCCGTTCTGCGGTGACGTGAACGTAAACTAAACGTGCCAACCAAGCAAATATCAGCGCCTGACCAAGCAAGCGAACTCTGGAGCGGGTTCGATCTCCTGGGTTTCATCGGCAGAGTGTGAGCCTCTTGCCAAAACAAAGCGTTCACATCGCCACCCAACGCCGGAACCACGATTCGTGACGCTTCTCGGCTCGCATCATCGTCATAATCATCAACTCCCTCTCTCCATCATCATCATCCATCATCATCTCCCATCATCATCCATCATCATCTCCCCCATCATCATCATCATCTCCCTCCATCATTATCACACCCGTCCATCATCATAATCGTCCACTCTTCCTCCCCCATCATCATCATCATCATCCTCTTTATCGTCGTCATCATCGGTATCATACTCTTCAACATCTTCACAACCACCCTCCCTTCTCCACCATTACCAAGGTGGGCGTACCAAGGTAGGCGTATCATCGGTCGTGCGGCGTGTGTGGGGGGGGGGGTGTGAGGGGGGGTGTGTGTGAGGGGGGTGTGTGGGAGGGGGTGTGTGGGAGGGGGTGTGTGGAAGGGGGTGTATGGGGGGGGTGTGTGCGCGAGGTGAGGGAGCCAGTGGCACCCTCACATTAACAGAGGTAACGCTGGGGGGCGCGGGGTAAATTGCGAGTTTTATCCGCTAATGTTGGGGGGCGCGCGGCTCCACCCGGGCCCTCCCTCCCTCCCTGTCTGTCTGTCTGTCTTCATTACGGAGCCTCCTTCCAGGCGCCTGCGCCGCGAGAGCGCGGGGGCCTCGCTCGCGACTTGCTGATTGCGGCGATGATGAGGATGATGATGATGGTGGTGGTGGTTATGTGTTGCTGATGATGACGGTGATGATGTTGCTGGTGGTGAAAATGATGTTGGGAGCAGTCGTGTAGGGGCGAGCGCGCTGCGCTCCGCACTTCACGACCCGAGTTCGATTATCGCTCACGGCCAACACCAGTGGCGATTATCTGAACCAGTCCTGGACCTCCTCTAGGTGGACTCAACCTCAAATGAGTACCTGGTGCGCTGTGTAAAAACATCGCCACTGGGGAAACAAAGGCGGCCGGGCGTGGTCCTGGCCACCCGCCCCCCCTCGTGTGCAGTGCCGGCCTTCACAGGTGCTGCTACTCGCTAACAGCACTTGCGCTAACAGTCTGTTAAGGCTATACGGGGGATCTTTGTCTTTGGTGATAATGATGATACTGCTGCGTATGATGTTGGTTATGCTGCATTTTCTGCTGCTGATAATTTATGATGATACCGAATTTGATGATTGATGATGATGATACCAAAGATGATGATGATACTGTTGCTGCTCGCATATGTCGGTGGTGATGATGATGCGACTGCTGCTGGTGTTGGTGGTGTTGCTGTTATCATTGTTGCTGTTGATGTTACAGTTGTAATTATGTATCCAGAAGAGACGAATACATTGATCAATGGAACGATCTTTACTCCACTGCTGCTGCTGCTGCTGAAAATGACGCAAACGATAATTACAGAGGTGATGAACAAGCTCCTTCGGATGATGGTGATGATGATTAGCATAGCGATGTTGATTATGATGATGATCATTATCATCATCATCGCGCGATCCTATCTCACTCCACCACGGGCCCCTAATTGATGAGACGGCACCACCACCAGGAGGGGAAGGGAGGGTAGAAGGGAGATGTGGCGGGAGTAGGGAGGGGGCGGGAGGGGGTCAAGTGACTGCTCCTGTCACTCAGTTTTGGCCTGCGAACGCGCGAACACGTGCACACGAGCGCACAAAAGACGAAGAGCCCCCCCACGCCCCCCCCCCCGTGTAGCCTTCAGCAGACTATTGCGGCAAGTCCTGTGAGCCAACGCCTATGATTGACAGAACGTCACACGAGGAGATGGAGTGGCCAATTTCGATGCCCGGCCGTCTTTTTCTCTCCAGTTCTGATGGACTCATTTAGGACCGAGTCGACCTCGGGGAGGTCTAGGATCGGTTCAAATATTCGCCGATGTTCGATTTCAATAACAGCGCGCCAACCACGACAACGACACGTACACAAAGACAAAGACCCCCCGTATAGCCTTAACAGACTGTAGGGGCAAGTGCTGTTAGCGCGCGCACACACACACACATGGAAGGGAGATAACCGTGCGCGCGTGCACATACACACACGCGCCTACACCCACACACGCGCACTTACATAATACACACACACACTCCTCTCTCTCGCATCTCTTTGTTTATATCTTCTTCCTCTCTCTCTCTCTTCATCTGCCTCCTCTCTTTACTCCATCTCGCTACTCTTCATTTAATATATCTCCACCCTCTCTTTAATTTGTCTTTCTTTCTCATTCTCTCTCTTTTCCGTGTATCCTTTTATTCCCCCCCCCCCATCTCTCCCCTGACTCACCCCTCTGTCTCTCTCTCCCCCCCTCTCCCCTCTCTGTTTCCCCCCCTCTCTCCCCTCCCTGTCTCTCCCCCCCCTCTCTCCCCTCTCTCTGCTCGGAGATGATGGTACTGCGGGAGCGCGTTGCCCCGGAGACGCGAGGAGGAGGAGGAGGACGCGTGTGCACGTGGGTGCACGCACTCGCGTTTCCAGGGAGAGGAGAGTGCGTGTGCCTCAACGACACAAGAGACAAAGACCCCCGTATAGCTTCGACAGACTGAAGGGGCAAGTGCTGTTATCGACAAGCACCTTTGGAGGCCGACTCGGCGCACGAGAGTGGTGGTGTGGCCGCAGTTCTCTCCCCAGCGCTGATGTTTTACGCACCACACCAGGTGTTCGTTTGAGGCTGAGTCGACTTAGAGGAGGTTCAAGACCGGTTAAAATATTCGCCACTGTTATTTGTTGTGAGGGATGAACGGAACTCGGGTTACCGGGTCCGCAGCGCAGTGCACTCGCACTGTGCCACCACCACACACATATACATACAAAGATCCCCATGTAGCCTTTTAGCAGACTGTTGGGGCAAATGCTGTTA